GCATTTGATTAATAAGATTCTTGGCTTCTGGTGTAACTGTATCCCATTCGGGCGATGGATACTTTAGAAATACAATTAAGAATAGGTCATTAAATAAGAAATGTATCTATAAAGCGCTATTAAAATAATGGATATTATTCAAGGGGTCTTACATCATAAGCGCCTGCTTTAATCTGAGAATACAAACGATGCTGATCTTCATCCCAGAATGGCGGATATCCAACCAAAAGTATGTAAAGAATAACGCCTGTGAAAAAAATAAAATAAAGTGTTTCAGTGTTTATCGTTCTAAAAATGTATTTCAGTTTGAAAATATCATAAAACCAGTTGTTATTCCTAAAAACGTATGTAGAGTGTTGTAATTCAGTTTAACCTCCGCTAATTAAGAGAGTCACAAGATGTGCAAGGGATTATAAATATGGACTACATTAGGGAAAGTTATTGTCCATGTACCTAAAGTTATAAACTACCGATACCGGACGAAAAAGGTGCACGGACAAGCCATACCGAAATATTGGTTTTGTGCAACATTGCTCCACGCAGTCTTTCGAAGACCATGATAAAATATTAATTGATTTGCTGTTAGCTGTTTAGTTTGTTTTGGTTTTGGAGGTGATAGTTCTGTAATTGTAATTCTTTCTTTCTTTCTTTCTGTCCTTTCTTATGTTTTTACCGAATATTTTGTGTACAGGATTATAGGTACTAGCGTGATAATAAAAGCGTTCTTACCACATGCCCATATATCTACCGATTTGCCATATGGTTCTTTTTTCAATACTTCCGGCGATAGATAGCCCGGGGTGCCAGCAAATCCAAACCATGCTTGATGATCGCCTTGCACTTCAATGGCTAGACCAAAGTCAGCGAGTTTCACAGCTGCACCCTTTGCCTTACTAGCTAATAGTAAATTCTCAGGCTTTAGATCGCGATGCACCACACCGTTTTGGTGGCAGTGATTGACCGATTCCAATATTTGTTGAATACAATGTGATGCATCAGCCTCTGAATAAAATTCGCGGGCAACAATATCTTCGAAAAGTTCGCCACCAGTTACACTGTAAAATTTCGTTTTGTTTTGATTAGACAAAGAAAAAGAAAAAAATCATTTAATTAAATAAATTGATCAAGCTGTTCGTTTTATTTCTCCTTGAATTTTCTTGAAACTTTATGTTCTGTTTATAAGTTATTTTATTGAAAATATTTGGAGTTTTCTAGGATAAAAAATGATAGGGTATTTTGAGGCGTTTTTTTATTTGTGTAATCAAAGGATGAAGTATGAACCTCATTAAACAATAGTCGAGTCATTGTGACAAATTTTTTTATAGAACAGTAGTTTATGTTATTTTGCTTACAGATCAAAAACCAGGTAGTGATAGTTCTCCTCCTGAATACTGTCATGCAAACGTACTGAAAATACAGGTTTTTAGTTTTTATTTACGCACAATATCCTAATATATAAATATTAATATATATTTGCAATAATGAATACCACATATTACATACATACCTATGTTGGGATGATGTAGTTTTCTGCAAATCCTCGCTTCACGCTCCAATTTTTGAAAGTCTTAAAAATATTTTTAAAAAACCATATATTCCATTATTAGACTTGTATGACATTTAGACGGTAATGGATACATACATATGTATGTATGTATAAAAATAGTATTATGAGTGATCGACACTTGGAAGCGTTGTTTTCAATTTGTCGCTTGAAAAGACACTTAGAAAACTAATTTGTAGGGAATGTGACAATCGAATCTGTGAGACGCAGTCGCTTGCACTAAAAATTGAAATGTTTTTTATTTTTTATTATACATTTAGTTTTGTTTCTCCCCTATTTGAACTTGCAATTCTAGAGTAGATTGGTTTAATAATTTTTGTTTATTGTAACGTTTTTAATTATTATATCTAAATACTGTATGGGATACTGTCAGGTATATACAGAGGTAGTTTAGTGCATTTACACATCGACCTATTTGCACATCTAAACATCCGTTGCCCTATAAACCGTTACCTTTCGCATTCTCTTTCGGCTTGCTTCTGCTTAGAGAAAGCTACGCGATAAAGAAAACTTCATAGAAATTGGTCAACAACAGCAAGAATTGCAACTAAAAAGAGTTGGATGTGTAAATAATTGTGAGTTTGTGTGAATAATTTTGACTACCTCTGTATGTATGTATGTATTTCTTTTGCATAGTACATATATGTATGTACATACATCTTACCTCTCGCTGTCAACTTTTTGGTATTTATAATTTTTGCAGCAAATTCAAATCCTGTTGATTTCTGCACACATCTTTTAACTATTGAAAATGCGCCTCTGAAAAAAAATATCAAATAATAGTTAATTTCAATGTACGTACTTATGTCTTACTATTTTTAAAAGAACATACATATATGTTTGTAACTTACTTTCCCAGCTCTTCCTTGATTTCATAGTTGTCGGAAAAACGCGTACAGGCTGCTGGTGCAGCCATCGCGATGGCACACTTAAGAAAATCTATTGCGACTTGTAAAAATTTTACAAAAAATTGTCAACAAAAGTTTCTCTTGTTGTAAACAAATTCTTTTTTTCCAGAAGCCCCTTTTATGGGTTTAAAGTTTCCAGCTCCAATTATGTTTTGTTTATTTATTTAGCTTAGCTGCAAATCGATCAAAAAGTTTATATCGTTGTAATTCTTTTTCAGAGAAGAAAATGAACATACAAGCATACATACATGTGTAAACATTGTACGTGGTTTATTGTTTTCATCTGTGCATAAAATTTAAAAAAAAAGCTAAAAAATAGTACAACTTGCATATAACATTGAATTTTTTTAATGCATTTATTATTTTTAGTTTAATCGGCAAAGCTCTGAAAGAAAATGCTTATTTGTTTTCTAGCATGTGGTTCTGGTTTCTATTCTCATACTGTCGTCTGGGATTTTCAATTTGAGCGAATGATAAAAATTAGCTAACGCCATTTAAAAAAGTATTATTTGGAATTGTATCGATTTTTGTATTTGATAATAGAATATAAAAACTAATATGAAATAATTTTATTTTTCCAATTTAGTTGAACTGGTTGGTTTGTAAAACATTGTATTTAATTAAATTTTCATGTATATATTTAAATTCATGTATATTATTCAATTTCGAAAAAAGCGACAGGTGCTTTTTGGAATAAAGGTTCTTTTAATCTGGAATGCAGTCTTAGATAATGTATCTATGTATGTACATTGGGCGTAGTAAATGTATGTATTTTGTACGTATGTGGGTACGGATCCTTTTGCAGGTATCATTTACAAATGTACCCATGTACATACAAATGTACGTAGGGAGCTTTTTGTACAAAGCTCCATTTCTTAAAACAAGGATATTCGTTAAACAGAACTTGTTGCAAATAATAATATGGGGTTCTATGAGTATTTTCATTTTTATAAATGCACATAAAGTTATTCAATTTAATGAAGTCTTTTTTTATAAAACTTTCGGTTTTCAATATACATTTCTACAAATTTATATATATTTGTATATATATATATATATATATATATATATATATATATATTTACATATATACATATGTATTTATATATATCTACAAGTTTATTGAAAACCGAAAGTTTTATAAAAAAAAGACCTAATTAAATTGAAAAACTTTATGTGCGTTTATTTATTTAAATACATACATATTTATATGTATAAACTTTATTAAATCATAAGTCTTTAGAAAATTGAAAACACATGTATGTATTAATGTACAGATGTAAGTGCTTCAAATATTTGCGATATAGGGATTTAGTCTTTTTTTTAATATAGAGAAAAATATTTGTACATCAATATGCATGTACATAGAAATTTGCTGAAATGAGTGTCGACCCAGAAATCTTTTATTTGTATATATGTATGTACATATGTACATAGGTATACAAGTATCTTTGTACATATTTATGTATACAAATTTGGAATCATTCACAAATATATGATTTTATAAAGTGTTGGCACCTAATCTTTTATGAAATGAGACAATTGTCACCAGATATATAAATGTTCCGTTCCCGTTATTTTAATAAAAATATCTACATATAATATGTATATGTTTGCCAGGGAAACACACACACTCTCGACGCGTACAAATAAAGATACACAACGCACACTAAATTATTTTTAAGAAAACGTCCGTTTGCTCGAAAATCGAATTCACTACTAACACAATTTTCTTGTGGTCCCCTTTTGATTCGGAAAACGGATTGAAGAGCTTTTTCCACTTGCCGAATTTTCATCGTAAAAACGAAGGCCATACACATATTCAAATATACACCGAGACCGAAAAAGTCCGTTGTTCCTGGATTCTGCGCACTGAAAAATGTCAAAGTATCCTGGAACTGTAAAATAATATTACATATGTAAGTTGATACGTATGAATTTATGTATGTATTCTACATTTCTACATTGAGTTCATTTAGGCGGTGAAGGTTAGTTTGTTAATAATAATTATAATAATAATAGTATTAATAATTGAAAATTATAATATAACAAACACGCAAGCAAAATTCCTAAATAAGGAACTGAAGTCATATAAGATATGTGAAATTCAGTATTTTAAAGTACCACTACCAATAATTTTGATCGATGTACAACTCTAACATGTTCTTAAGACTTTGAGCATTCATAAATGAATTAAAATAAAATCACGTAATATAAAATAAAATAGACTACCCCCCTTAAAATTGATATTATTTGATTGGTCTCGGTGCCTACATATGTACATATATAATATATAATAACAGCCATATTTTTGTCCTATTAATTTTTTTGTTTTTCGCAGCGAAAGACTCAAGGAAAGAATATCTTTCTAAGGGCCATAAGAAAACTGGAAATTTAGAGATGATTTATTTATTTATTTATTTAAGATACAAGTTTAAAGTTGTAATTATAAATATTAAATAAATTATTTATTATAAGCTTGTTGGAAATGGCAAGTGATTCGCTGATAAAAAGTTAAAATAAATACATTAAATGTATATTGGACAATTATATTTCTATGTCATTCGTTTGGTCAAAACTTGAACGCGTTTAGCATTGCAGCTTTTGCAGAGCACATGATCATCGAGTGGATAACATCCACGGCCTTCAGCTTCAGATGAAAGTAGAAGTCCACAATCCTATTAAGTGTAGGAAATCGTTATTACATGAAATTTAAAACTTGAATTAAATATATAAATTAACAAGAAAAAAGCTTATTTCCGCACACCAAAGTTTTTATACCCTTGCAGATAAGACTTCGATGACTTGGAATCCATACAATATAAATTATATATATTTAAGTTAAAAAACAATAAAGTAATAGCGGCTTTCATTTCATTCACCAATACATATTATATTTACAGTTTTACATTTACAGATTTGCATTTTTCCTCTACATCTAACGGTCGTTTGATATAATCGTCTGATTTTCATAAAATTTTACACAAAATTTAAGACTACTATAAAATGGCTATATCTCACATTTAATCAAATTTTGTTGAAAACTGAAAATTTTATAATTTTATTTTTATTTTTTAATTCATTCCTATGGCAGCTATATGATATAGTCGTCCGATCCGGCCCATTCCGACTTATATACGAGTGAGAGTAAATAGAAGACTAACTACAAAGTTTCATTCAGATAGCTTCAAAACTGAGAGACTAGTTTGCGTAGAAACGGACAGACGGATAGAAGGACAGACGGACCTGGCTAGATCGACTCGGCTGTTGATCCTGATCAAGAATATATATAGATTATATGGTCGGAAGTGCCTCCTTCACTGCGTTGCAAACTTCTGACTAAAATTATAATACCCTGCAAGGCCTTATAAGGCTTTTCATTTTAAATAATTTCTTAATGTGATAATACACTAAGCTTAGTTACCATTTCATTTCTTTGCACAATTTTATTTCGAATTAAATTTTTAGAAATTTTTTGCATTTCATAATTTCCAATTTCGATCATTTTTGTAGAGGAATATTTTTATTCTTAAAGAATATAAAGTTGTATTTTTACAAATGAATTATTTAAATCCTCATGCGATAGAGGGTTAAAAAGAGAGTTCGATATTGTTTATACTTTTAATCAGAACGGTTACTGTGTACTTGAAACATATACTGATGCACTTCTTCTAACAGGAAAGATTAAACACCAAAAATTTCTGATTTGAAATGTAATTTGTAACAAAATGAACAAAAAAGTCTAGGACCCTTAAAAGAACATAAAGACCGGCTAACAGACAAACAAACTTTGGATAAACATCTGGTTGAAATGAATGAGGCGCATCAAAGATTCTTCACCTCTAAGTTAATTTGCTCCAAAGAACGACGATCCCTGATCACGTATAACTTAATAGATTTTGAAGTTGTATTTTTACCATTTTAAAGTCAAACAATTAATTTAATTAAATTAAATTATATATATCTAAAAGAAAGGTGTCTGTTACACCACTTATAACTCAAGAATGGCAGAATAGATTTGGGTGAAAATTGGTAGGGAGGTAGCTTAGAGTCAGGAGACGGGCATAGGATACATTTTATCCCGTTCGAAAGAAAAGCGGGATATCCATCGCTAATATATATAATTTACTAAAAACCAATATATCTAGTAGTCGTTTCCTAACATTTCAATTGGAAACAAAATAAATAAAGTGCAGGCATTGTCTTTAAGGTGGTAAGTTGAAATGTGTTAATTATGTGGAACGTGCATTTGAGGTTATAGTTCGAAAGGACGACGTGCGAAAGAACATCGACCGCCGCACAAGACATGTAAGCCAGCAAAAAGTGTATGCACAGAACTTAAGCGAAGAAAGAGAAAATATAATATTCCAATATGATCGTTACATTCTCCTATACGTACTGTATTTACAGTTTATAGGGTCGGAAATGACTCCCTTCTAACTAAAATTTTAATACCCTCCAAGGATATAAAGATATGATTTTTAGCTTGGGATTACCTCACATTTATAACACTCGAGATGAAAACTACGATCTAAAGCCACAACTCGAACGGTTTCGTCTTGACCTATCTCTGGCATAATTGGTTCCTTGCAGACACAGCATCGTGGGGCAAATTTCCTAGATTATATTGGTTATAAAATCAACACATTTTCTGTAACAAATAATAATTCTCGTGACTTACTTGTGAAAATCAGTGATGCAATAATTTTGATTGGTGGCATCGACAGTAAAAAGCAAACCATCTAAACTCTTACCACACACAACACACGTAAAGCACTGCGGATGATATGGTTTTCCTGTCGCTCTTAGAATTCTTTCCAAAATGGGCTCCATGCAAACGGAACACTTCTCAAGGGTCTGGAGATAATCATATTCGCAATATGGTTTGCCATCCAAAGCGTAGAATGGTTTGCCTTGTAAATTGATTTGGCATTCCGAACAGGTGAAGCAAGAAATGTGATAGATTTGATCCATTGCCGTACAGCCGCTGCTTTCGCCCAAAACGCGCGAGTTGCATTTGACGCACCTACCTAAAAAAAAGACAGTTAGAATGTATATAAATACATTATTGTAGAATATTATACCTTATTTTTGCAACGCAGTGAAAACCCCTTTTACTTAAAATCTTACAAAAAAAAAAACAAGAAAGGAAGCTAACTTCGGCTCGCCGAAGTTTATATACCCTTGCAGATAGATCTTCGATGACTAGAAATTAATACAATATACATTTTTCATACCTTTATAAAAAAACATTGAAGTAATATCTGCTTTCATTTCTTTAACCAATACATTTTATATTTACAGTTTTACATTCACAAGTTTGCATTTTCCTCTATATCTGACGATCGTTTGTAAGGCACTTATATGATATAACATAGTCGTCAGATTTTCAAAAAAATGTACACAAAATTTTAGAAAATAATGAAATGGCTATAACTCAAATTTAGAAAAAATCTGTTGAAGACAGAAATAGTTGTAATTTTTTATTGTATTAATTTCTCGATCGTTCGTATGGAAGCTAAATGATTTTTCCGATTTTCATAAAATTTTACACAAAATTGTAGAAAAATATGAAATGTCTATATCCCAAATTTGATAAAAACTTGTTGAAAACTAAAAAAGTTATAATATTTTTTTTTTTAAATTTTCCGATCATTCCTATGGCAGCTACATATATGAATTAGTCCTCCGATCCGGCCCATTCCGACATATATACGAGTGAGAGTATATAGTAGACTACCTACAAAGTTTCATTCAGATAGCTTCAAAACTGAGACTAGTTAGCGTAGAAACGGACAGACGGACATGGCTAGATCGAATCGGCTGTTGATCCTGATCAAGAACATATTTATACTTTATATGGTCGGAGGTGACTCCTTCACTGCGTTGCGAACTTCTGACTGAAATTATAATGCCCGGCAAGGGCATGAATATTACAAAGGAAACAAGATGACAGTTTTTGCACTCCGCACATTGTTTACCCATGCAGTTTACAATTAGTTCACAGAGAAACGCCTAATTTCGGCAAAGAAATTGTTCATTAATAATATATTATAACATAACGTGAAACAGCCATATTCTTAGGTAGTTAATAGATTATAACAATGTTACAGCCGTTTTTTTATCAATTAAAAAAAAAAAGAAGAAATAAACATTTCATATTATATTTAGATTTTAAATATGTACATACACCATATATAAAAAAAATTAAATACGTTGAAATAGATACATATATTTTTTTAAATTAATTATCCCTTTTATATTGATATGACAAGAATATGAAACAGTCGTCTGATATCAATTAAATTAAAACCGAAAATCTGAAATAATAGAAAATGGAATTTATATAACTTATATATATCACCTCGGCTTAAAATGTCGGAAACGACTGATTGTTATACACTTACAAGGTATTTAATATACTTTATTACAATATATTAATAATAAGGGATGTATTTATCAATTTCTTACCATAGTTTTCGAACTCTTGGGGTGTTGCGATCGACGAGTCCTCCGAAATATAGTTGCTGACACTCAATTTATTCTGATACGCAGTGTTTCCGACTGTATAATCCTCAGTTGGCACATTAGAATCATAGGAATTTTTCAAAATATTTGGAGAATTACAGTCATTAATAAATGAACCATATAAATTACTACTACAATCCCTTGGAAAATGATCTCCAGATGGACGAGGGTTAATAGGTTCATAGATTGAATCATATGTGGAAGAGCTCTGTAAAAAAAATATACATATAGTAGTGTATACTCTTTCATAGAAAATGTCTAAAATTTTGTAGAAAGAAACGTAAAACGGAATTCGGAATAACTTGGAAGATTTTATATAGGTGCCATAGGAACTATATTTAAACTTAGTGTAGAATGCAAAACTGAGATTCTAAAACTGTAACTGTTGACAGTTATGAACAAGCGGGCTTGGCGAACTTTATCTCGCTCCCAGGGTGGTAATAAAAAGCAGATAATTCAAATTTCAATGTAATTTATTTGAATCTCATAATAACCGGTGGTTGCACCTTTTGTCCAAAAATTACCACTGACACTTCATTGATTGTGGGAGCATTGAATTGCCTTGCATGGCTTCCTGCGGCTCTTTTTATTGATCTGGTAATGGTTTTGTGGTCGTCGGAATGCATTGTATCTAATGCTGATTTAAACAATATGACCAAATCACTGTGCTCATGCGGAATATTTTACCAGAGAAGTGCATTTTTATACCCTTGAAGAGTATTATAATTTTATTTCCGACAAAATATATCCATCAGTCCCATAGACTTAAACACATGCCTAATTATAAGCACACACATACTATGTAAACATCACACCCCATGCTGCCCTATAATTGTAAATCCACACAGCAACAGTTTTAATGCAATGCAATGTGAAACCCTAAGCCAAAGCTACCGGAATATATCCAGAGATCCCGACATTGGATGTAACCCGAAACTCCAGATGGTCCCCAACAGTAGAATAAACATCCGGTAGTAAACTAATTGCCTAAGCCCTCACCAAATTGTCACATTCCCACAAAATCTTAAATTGCAAGCTAATCAAAGAGCACTCGTATCCAAGATCAAAATCCAAGAGAAGAATCAAAGACAATCTAAGTCAATAACTCTTGAAACTCACTCAATATCTAAGAAAGCTGGAGGAAGAGGCTTGAACGTCAATCAATGCAGACCAATAAGTTAAGTTTAAAACTATTTAGTCGGTGTTCTTCAATACTTGCAATTTCTTTGGTTAATATAAAATAAACGATTTTTTTTTTAACTTACAAAGAGTTCCAGCATTTAATTAAATATATTTTGAACAGGGTGGACAGCAGAGTCATTCTAGCCACGACCGTCTGTCCGCCCGTTTTTCCATTTCAAGTCTCTCAGTTTTGAAGCTCTCTGAATGAAACTTTGTATTTCGCCTTCTATATTCTCTCTCACTTGTATAAAAGTCTGAACGGACCTGATCGAACGCCTATATCATATTACTCCCATAGAAACAATCAAAAAATATATATGTATATCCTACAGCTACAGTTGAGTACTGTGGGTAGAATTAAAAGAAACATGGAGATGGCAAGTTCACTTCGTCTATGCCTAAATTTAAGAAAAACTAAAAGTCTTATTATTCCATACTAATATATATTAAAGCGAAAACTGTTTTCTTAACACCCATATTTAACATATTATTAGTTTTTACCTACATTTTCGCATCGGTTTAAAAATTCTATGAAAATGTTACATTTAAACCAAAATTCACGATTATAGCTTAGTTATCATGAGAATTTGATTTGCGGGAGCGGGAATGAGCCTGGCTAAATTTAAACATAGTTTAAGCCCTTATAGTACTTAGGATCTGTGCTTTTACAAAGACGGACATACAGACATGGCTAGATCGACCCATATGGTGATGCTGATCAAGAATATATATAGTTTATGGGGTTGAAGATGCCTTTTGCCTATTACAAACATTTTCAATTGGCACTTAGCAATAATACAAGGTATATCAAATTACCACCCTTTTCTAATGCGATACGATTTGATTGGTATATATATTTTTATAGCCTCGCAGGGTATTATAATTTTAGTCAGATTGTCAGCATCAACAGTCGAGTCGATATAGCCAAGTCCGTCTGTCCGTTTCTACGCAGCTTTTAAGGTATCTAAATGAAACTTTGCAGTTAGTCGTTTATATACTCTTGTATATATGCCATAGGAACGATCAGGAAATTTTTAGAAAAAAAATTTTAACTTTTTTAGTTTTCAAAAGATTTCAGATATAGCAATTTTATATATATTATTTTTTTATTTAATGAAAATCGGACTACTATCATAAAGATGACATAGTAAAGATTTAGAAATGAATACAATTAAAAATTATAATTTTTTTTTAGTTTGCAACCAATTTTATATAATTTAAGATATATCCGTTTTTTTAATTCGGTTTTTATGAAAATCGGACGACTTTTATATCTAAATCAATCTAAAATTGTTAATATAATACGTATAGGTGAATAAAATGAAAGCATGCATTACTTTATTGATTTTTAACAAATATATATATAATTTATTTGAATGAATTTCTTGTGTTTGAAGTTATATCTGCAAGGGTATATAAACTTCGGCGTGCCGAAGTTAGTTTCCTTTCTTGTTTATAAATACAATAACCAAAAGGTTGTTTAGAAGTCTCGCACGCTCTCGCTGCTCATTTGTATTACATGGACTGCCGTAAGGATTGAAAGCACTGCATACCTTACTGACGGTACCCTTTAATTGTTGGATCGGGTATTGATTGGTGTATGTTTTGGCCAAATGTTGACTTGTTGAATTCGATTTATTTTGTAATGATTTATCCATTGAAGACTTATTGTTGAACACATTAGACGACGCACGTCTTAGCTCGCTGTAAGAGGAGCTAACAGCGCTAACAGGACTTGGAGGTGGTGGCACATCATCCTCTCTGTCAATATCTTCCGAGTGTATGTTAGTGCACACCGAAAGCAACTGGTTTGAAGACTCTGAAAGAAAAAATATAGAAGAGAAACAAAGCTTCAGTCGCTAGAAAAGCTCTTTTTAATATTTATTTTTTCTATAACTTGTTTTTGTAACATGTTAACAAATAATAAGTAATATATATGAAAATAATAAATATGTTTTGTTTTAATTGATATTTTATGATATATACATTCGACTTACATAAATTTAAAACCGAAATTTCAGAATAATTAAGTCCTATATCAAAGTATTTTTTAGAAAAGCAGCGAAATGTAGGAAAGCGGCCTGCACAGTTTCAGTTAGATAGCTTTAAAACTAAGAGACTAGTTTGCGTAGAAAAGGATCCACAAACATGACTATATCAAATTGGCTGATGATGCTGATCAACGATATATATATACTTTATAGGGTCGGAAAGGACTCTTTCACTGCGTTGCGCACATCTGAATAAAATTATAATACTCAGCATGACTTTGGTTCCGTATAGAACATTTTCTAGCGTACTTTACAATAAATTTAACTAAAAGTTGATTTTTTAAATTAAAAAAAAAAATCAAAATTCAGAAAAATGCATGAAATCTTTATTTGAGAAGAAAGTACGGTCCATATAATTTGATGTTTGAAGATTTTTTCATGCAAATGTTAACCGCGACTGCGCCTCAAATGGTCCATCCGCTTAGTCCAATTTTGGCCGGTATCTCACGAATAAATGCAATGCGTCAATTAAAGCGGGCTTGACTGAATAGATATAAGGTTTAACATAGCCATACCAAAATAGTCTAAAGACGTCGTAAAGATCGCACGATCTATACGGCCAAGTGACCAAGCACTGGCCACTCAATATCTCCATTGTTACGGGTGCTGTGTGGCATGTGGCAACGTCTTGTTGAAACCGCCTCAACCTGCAAAGTGGTTTAATGTCGAAAAATCTAAATTTGAAGCGAAATCAAGTTACAATACTCCGATAAGACGCTTCAGTGGGTCAATTGAACTGACCAGAAACAGACGGTGAACTTTCAAAACAGAGCACGCGTTTTGTTAATAAAATTCAATGATTTGGGAGCGTAAAACGATTCATTGTTCGGTTATAGACCAAACTGAAGATGAATCCATACCATATAAATTATATATATTTGTGTTAAAAAACAATGAAGTAATACCTGCATTCATTTCATTCACCTATACATATTATATTTGCAGCCTTACATTCACAGATTTTCATTTTTCTTCTACATCAAACGATCCTTTGTATGGCACCTATATGATATAGTCTGCAAGGGTATAAAAATGAATATATACCTTAGGTATTTTTTGAATATAGGTATATATAAATGTAACGAAATTAGGCATTATTTCGATGTTTTTTGATATAAATATATATTATTTATATTGTATTGTATTAATGTTAAAATTGCAATCTGCAAGTATATGCAAACTTCGACGTGCAGAGTATTATATATATGTCGGAAAGGACCAGATCGGAAAACTATATCATATAGCTGCCATAGGAACAATCGAACAATTTTCAAAAAAACTGGTCTAAATTTCAATTTTAATTTTATACAAATCGTACGACTATATAATATAGCTTCTATACAAAGGATGGGTAGATATAGAGTAAAGTGCAAAACTGGTAAATGAAATAAAAGCAACCATTACTTCATTGTTTTTTGAACATAAATATATATAATTTATATATATTTATTAATATATCGAAGTTCTATCTGTAAGGGTATATAAACTTCGGCGTACCAAAGTTAGCTTTCTTTCTTGTTTTTTTGTTAATGTGGCATATATTCGTCACAAAGTTAGATATTATAAACTTTAAAGCTGAAGGTGTCATTGTCACTCGTTTCTTACTTCGTTATGAGTGTTTTTGTCTGATTTTAAATTTTCTAAAACGAAACTTTAGAATATATGTAGCCTTATACCGAGTATGAAAATATCTGAATAAATAATAAAAATCATAACTTGCCCATATCCATTGAAAATGCAAAATAAAATAATGGCAGACCAATTATTACCTGCGTCGTTTGCATCTGGAATTTTAAAGCGGGATCCTCTCCTATAAGGTTCAGAAGTAATATTGGTATATACTTCAGAATTGCTTGACGAATTCGGTGATAAGTTAGGAAGAATTGATGTTGAGTGTATTGGCATTCCTAACAGACCCTTCCTTTCCATTTGAAGTTTGTGATAAGCTAAAGCTTCCAACTGCTGTTCCAATATATCCGGATTATCTAATGTCTTCTTCGCATTAAGTAATGTGTTTTCGTTACGATTAAATTCGGAAGAATGTAGCTGATGTTTTCGAAAAAGTAGAGGGTTATCCGTTCCCAGAAGAGGCTGGGAATATAATGGCTCGCGAGAACAAGTCACTTGCTTACTGGAAGGAACCTGTAATTCACATATATATATATATCATATTAAAAAATAATAAATAAATACAAATTAAAATGTTCACATACTTGGGGCATTTCAGTTCGTTTTTTGTGTGGCTTTGGTGGTATTGTTGGAGCAGTTTTCCTGTTCATAACTGAATTTTGCTGTTGTATATTGCCAACTAATTCGGCAACTTTGCCATGTTTGATACCAATAATAGTATCTGAAGAACCTTTTGGTTGCGGTTTATGATGATTCAAGGACTCCATGAAAATATTTTGTGAAATATCTCTTTCTTGGTAATGATTTATTTTTATAACATTGTATTAATAGACCTCAGCGCCGTCGTAAATTTAAATTTTTATTTAAAATTTTTAATTATTACTTCAGGAAAAAAACGCCACTTGGATCCTATTATTGATATACCGATTTGTTATTTTTCTCAACAGTATCGATTTGTATTGTATATTGTAGTGCATAAATCAGCTATTGACATTGCCAATAGTATACTAATGACCCGTTTCCACTAAGTTGACCCATATGATGGCCGTTTATAAGACCGTGTTAAACGGGCAGCTCATACGGTTTTGCCGCATCGAAATTTCTCCGTTTGGACATGGATTAGAACAATTCATATATGAAAGGCGTTAAAGCTTAAAGTACAGAAAAATAACTCGACAGTATTTTTAGTTACATCCTTGTCCTAAATCTTCCCGAATTGTATCTATTTAAAATAAATTATGCTGTAACTTTTTGTTTAATACATTTTGAGAGCACTGTTCTTTCCTTTTTTTTCCGGAAACATTTTAACCATCTTTGTTCATGTTTTAAATGAAATAAATGAATTGAAATGAAAATGGAATTTTGTGGTAAAACAGTTTAACCCGAATAGACTGTATGAGAAGTCAGTTGTCCCACACAGTCCATCTGTGTGAATCAGTTTTAATTTTTGGCAGAGGAGAAACTCCAATTCCCCATTAAATTCATTCACAATTCACCATCCAGTATCAGCTGACCGAACAGCTGTGGCTTATCCAAAACATTCAAAATGCAAAAAGGGCAGAATTAAAAAATTATAGGCTAAGTGAGGCGTGTTTTTAAGGTCCATTTCGTATTAGGTGTGTTCTCAGTGAGGCCTGTAGTTTAACGGCTACTTTTTATATCGTGCTCGCCAAAAAATCAGAGTTATGTTAAAGAATGTGCGTGTAATCGGACAAGAAAATACATACATATGTATGTACTTAGGTGCGAGTGTAACAAATGCCCTGCTGTTGGGTCCTGCTTTGGTAGGGACAGAAAGTGTCTGTGTCTTTCTGATGGATGCAGTCTGCAATATTGTAGTACATTCATACATTATTTTCCATGTTTTATATTACAGTAACAAATACAATAATAATTTGAGCAACCAACCCATACATATTGTATTAAAAGTTTTACAGTAACAATTTTATATTCACAGTTTTGCATTTTGCTTTAAATTTAATGATCGTTTCTATGGCAGTTATATAATATAGTCGTCAGATTAAAAATTAAAATTTGCTTTTTCTTAGAGAGAAAATATGTTGTTGATAAATGCATATAATTCAAAATTTGATGAAAATCAAATTTTTGTAGTTGAAACAAATAACAGTGGCGCCATCTAGGAGTCGTAGAGCAAACGGCAGACAAGGGCTTTGGAATTTCCATCTACGAGAAATTTTCATCTACGCGAGGGTCGATCGGCGACTTCTAGCTTGAGGGCATAGCGGGCTGGTTTATATCACTATGGCCTCGCTACCAAGCATTTAATCGAAGCGGAGACAAATTTTAACGTCGTTAGTGGCACACAATAAATTATTGTGGAAAATAACTTATGGTAAAAGTGATAGGAAAAAGTGCTAAAATAAGCACACTACTGGGACGTTTCTCGTTTTGGAATATCGGCAGCCCTTGGGTGTTCATCGCAAAATTGTTCAGGCCGTGAGGGGAGAGGAGAAAGCTGGGCAAAAAGCAGAGGAGACGAAGAAGCTGAGCTATCCGAAGCGCGAGAGAACAGCGTCGTCAGAAAAGCGGATAACTTAACCCCTCCTTGTCCTGGGAGCTCGCGGCGGCAGTCGCGCAGCCGTTTTTGACTTTTGTTTGCTTGTGAATGCTTCCGTGTTCTGTCAGCTTCGATCAGTGCTAGTTTTTTATTTGTATTTGCATCCGGCTATACTTGACTTGCGGCCAAAATAATGCTTCAGTTCCCGCAGTAATATTTAATAAAAATTAGCAAATAGGGAAATAAGCCCCGCCCGACGGGTAATACCCTAGTTGGCTTGAAAAAAGTGACAGCAGGCGCAATCGCCATTTAATTATACCCTTGCAGGGTATTATAATTCCAGTCAGAAGTTTGCAACGCACTGAAGGAGGCATCTCCGACTACATAAAGTATATATATTCGTGATCAGGATCAACAGCCGAGTCGATCTAGCCATGTCCGTCTGTCCGCCTGTCCGTTTCTACGCAAAGTAGTCTCTCAGTTTTGAAGCTATCTGAATGAAACTTTGTAGTTAGTCTTCTATATACTCTCACTCGTATATATGTCAGAACGGGCCGCATTGGACGACTATATCATATAGCTGCCATAGGAATGCTCGGAATCTTTTTACAAAATTTTTTTTTAACATTTTCAGTTTTCAATAGAATTGGATCAAATTTAAATATAGCCATTTTATTATACTCTTCAGTTATGTATAAAGTTTTATGAAAATCGGACTACTATATCATATAGCTCCCATAGGAACGATCGAGAAATTAATACATTTAAAAATGATAACATTTTTTGTTTTCAACAGATTTTGATCAAATTTGAGATATGGACACTTTATATTAGTCTTAAATGTTGTGTCAATTTTAATAAAAATCGGACGATTATATCATATAGGTGCCATAAAAACGATCGTTAAATGTAGAGGAAAGAAGAAAATTTGATGAAAATCTGATGAAAACTGAAAAAGTTATAATTATACCCTTGCAGGGTATTATAATTTCAGTCAAAAGTTTACAACGCACTGAAGGAGGCACCTCCGACCATATAAAGCATATATATTCTTGATCAGATAAAATCATCTTGATCAAAAATAAAAAATCACAATTTTGGCGGTTAAAAATCGCAAACAATAAACTGCCCGTACACACTTGGGCTCAAAATCCATTAGTATTTTTTGTCACTCTAAATATACTAACAACGCCTACCGATTACAATATTCGACCGTCGATAGCCATTTTACATTATTCTACAATTTTGTGTAAAATTTTATGAAAATGGGACTACTAAATCATATAGCTGCATTGAAGCGATCGAGAAATTAATACAATTAAAAATAATAAAAATTAATACAAAAAAATTTTTCAGTTTTCAAAAGTTTTTTATCAAATTTGAGATTTTTTTTTAATCGGACTACTATTTCATATATTTGCCAGACTAACGATCATTAGATGTAGAGAAAAATGCAAACTTGTGAATGTAAAACTGTAAATATAATATTTTTTGGTTAAAGTAATAAAAGCAGGCATACCTTCATTTTTTTTTAACTTAAGTATATACATATAATTTATACTGTATTAATTCCTAGTCATCCAAGTTTTATCTGCAAGGGTATATAAACATCGGCGTGCCAAAGTTCGCTTCCTTTCTTGTTTCTTTTGTTTAAACGTAAAAATTATTGTATTTTTAATAATCCAATTACAAACTGCAAGGTATACAAAAATTGGTGTGGCGTACTAAAGTAAGCCTCCTAACTTTTTCTTTCCCGATTATTTCAATGAGAGCTATTTGATGCAGTGATTCGATCTGGCCTTGCCCTGCAGTACCATTCATCTGTAATTCACCAACGATCAATCAACAGTCAATCATCGATGAATTTCCATATAAATGCCATATCTTAGATTGTCATCAACAACAATTTATCAATCAATAATTAATCAACAATTTATCGATGATTTATCAATAATTCATTAATAATTCATCAACAATAAATTTATAATCATTTCATCAACATTTTTTTGTCTTGTTTTTTTTTCATTTTAAAAATAGAATTCATTGTTAATTGTAAAATTGAGTTCTTAATTTTCAATTTTTACTCTAAGTTTTGCTACGGTTACCTTTATATTTCCACAATTTCACAATTTAACCTTTCTTTTATTTTTAGACAGATGCAATACATACATATACATATTTAAAATTTAAAATGCAAACACCTACCCCGCCTATGTACAGAATTGAGAAAGGGAGAGTGCAAAAGAATATATATTCCGAGTTTTACTAATGGCAGTCCTATGTGTTTCGACCATTTTTTATCAAAGTTTCATCAACCGAGAGAGTCGGTTTTGGCACGATTGCGGACGCAGTCGGCACGTTGATGAATTGTTGATGACAGTGGACATCAAAAGGATGGCATGTGGTATTGCAGGTAATCTGAATTTACCACTAATGAAAATAAACATATTACAAGTTAAATGAAAATAGGTTGAAATTTGAAAAAAGGATCATATTTAATTTTATAAATTTCTATCGTTCATATGGCAACCACAAATATGATCTTATAGTCCGATATTAATAAATTAAATTAAATTCAAAAATAACACAAAATGGCTTTATCTCAATCAAGTTGAAAATATGCTAAAAACTGGAAAACTTAGTTTTTTCTAAACATTTTCAGATCCCATGGCAGATATGGCAGCTGGATAAGTGAACTTAGAAAGGAGAACTAAAACCGCGAGTCTAGCTTTCTATAAACGGACAGACTTACATGGTTAAATGGTTGATGCTAATCAAGATATATGTATGTATGTATGTATATAGATTAGCTTGGTGCTCGCATCGTATCTGATAGTCTCAAATATGTTTTTCACACATTGTTCAATTATCTCTCTTGGTGTTGATGAACAATATCATAAACATGTCTCCCACTGTGATAGCAGCCAGTGAAATGTACATACAATATGTATATATGTACGTGCTGCATCGGCAAGTGAATATTCGTAATAATCAAACACAAGATGAACCTGCCGAATGAAATACATTTAGAACCCAATATGCACAGGTTGACCCTGCTGCCCATGAGGTAAAGGCTTGTCTGAAATCGGCGTTTTAGTGGACGGAATTTTTGAACTCGCATGATTTGCCAGCAAACTCCTCCGCATAATTTACAGCTAAAGGTTCAATGAGAATCATGCTGCCATATCTGAATCAAGCGAAATCGTGCAATGGTTTCTGTTGTCCTTCAAAAATCTTATGCACAATATAATTTAAGCAACGATCAGCAAGAAAAGAGTGGAAGTGCTAATCCCACGAACTCAAATAATTCCAAATTATCTTCTTTTCAATAAAAGCGGACTTAGTTCTCATTTGGTTGACTTTTGCGATGACAATAAATCGCACTTCCAATCGTTAGAAGAATGTGGAATTAACTTTGAATATGCCTGTTTTTCGCATGGTCAGTTGTACGTAGCAAGTTCCCGTGTTGGAAAACCGTCTTCGTTGTATACTTTTGCGCCGGAAAAAAATAGTTTACCATATCGCTCTCAACTGATAAGATTCAAATAAATTACATAGAAATTTAAATTAACTGCTATTTATTATCACTCTGGGGTTATATGAAGCATTAATTAGGGGCTAGACAAAGTTCGCCGGGCCAGCTTGTTTACAATAAAATTTTTCGGGCCCTATTCCCAAGGTCTTCCATTTCTATTCGATGATTAATCGGGTCTCAATCCATGGTTTTGTTAACTGGGGCGATTCAAAACTTATTTTGTTGATTTTCCATTTCTACATATGAAATATTATTTTATGACCATCGAAGTAATTATTTTGAGTCTTGGGAAGCTGTGTCATAAGGTAATTTGGCCCTAACTTAATTCACTGACGTTTCGATACCGGGTTTTCTTTTTTACTTTATTTTATCTGATCTGGTGCGTTCTGACTTGTTATGAGAAGTTATGAGAATTGAAGGAGGACTATCTGCAAACTTACATTCAGATAGTTTGCGTACAAGCCGGGCAAATGAAAAGACTCGGGTTTTAATTATTAATTTATGTATACATATGTAGCACATACATATGCTTCTTTCACTGAATTGACAAACTTCCAACTAAGCATATAGTACTCTTTCCAATGGTATACAAATATTGTAATACTTTTGGTATTAATTTTAACCATTAAGTGTCAATTAGAAACACCTATTTCTGAAATTAAAGAACAGTGCGACCGCACCTTGAAAATCAAAAACTTGTGATATACATTTTCGTGACCATTAATAAAATTGACGAATATGAAAATATCTATAATAGTAACTTATACAACAAATAGGATTTCTTTGAACATTCCTAATATTTGGTGAACATTTACGAATATGCTTATGTACATACATGAATTGCAGTTAAAGGCCTGATAAGAAACTTTAATCTCTAATTAAAAGTGGCTTGAAAGCAAAATCCGCTCGATAAGCAGCACAAAAACGATGAGACTGACAGAAAAAATTACAGTTCGAAAGAATGTTACTAACTAAGAGAAAAGAATGGTGGTTTAATTAATATATGCATTACATTTAGATACCAACATTTAGATAGGCAGTGTTTGTCTTCTAACATACATTTTTTTTAAAGAATTATAAATGTAATTTATATTTATAAATTAACAAATGAAGTTACAAGTGTAAATGATATGGTTCTGATGCTTTCCAATTTCTTGTTAAATAGCCAGTTAAACAGCCATTTTAATATTTATATTCACTTTATTTTAAATGTGTATCTCAGATAAAATCTTCTAGGTTTTCCTTTATCATGTAAAGGGTACATACCTTTGCAGTTGCAACAATAACACTATGAACTTTTAGTGAAGTTGAAAACAAAATCACTGCATTATTGATGCGATAAATGTTGAAGAACATTTTTTAGTCTACATTGACTCTGTTGTTGATGATAATCAATGATAATCATATTTACATACATATGTACATACATATATAGTACATGTATGTATATATTTACATTTTTCGTAGGGTCGCAAATGTCTCCTTCATTGCATTGCGAACTTTTGACTAAAATTATAAAATACCTTTCAAGGGTATAATAAATATATTAAAATAATATTAATTATTAAATTAAATAAGGTATGTACATACATACATATATGTATGTACAAATGTACGTCAAATCTAAAGAGAATGTAACTAAAAGGCAAGCTGGGGTCGAGAGTCCTAAGTATTTATATTCACAGATAATTCTCGACTTCAGAGCCATAGCTATTAAGAGATAAAGAAAGCTATTTGTGAGGAATGTTTAAAGAGGCGCTCGTTATATGTTTATAAGTATACATAAGGAGCTACGAATGTATATTGTATATACAGTTGCGGTAAAAATAAAAGCGCCGGAAATTTATTTGGGTGCTTCCTCATTTTGGCGCTTCCCAAAGTAGGGAAAAGATATTTCAATTTTAATATGGTTTCTGTTTTATAATCCTTATTAATCCATACAAAATATTTAAGGGAAAGAAACATCTTTGTTTTTGGAACATATTTGCATCAACTGGAATATATTAATATTAAAAAAAAAAAAATACTTACAGTATTAAGTGCGTAATTAAACAAATACATTGAGGTAAGATCAGATATGATATATTCATTTTTACCCACAAGAAGTTTTAACTTAAATCTTCAATTAGGATCATCTTCGATACAACTATTCTTTCTTTTTTTTTATATATGAGATGCTAACTTTTTGACCCTAATTGCATGTGTGTACCAACGATTTTACATAAGTACTTTATGTACGAAGCTCTCTCTCTCTCTCCGAATAAGTCAATGAATTCGAGGTATTTAAAGTGTGTTTTTCACGTAATCTGGCTCAATTCGAAGTCAGCGTGCATTGGATCCGGAATCGAGTTCGTATTTGATGCGGTCGGCGTCGGCATTCAGTTTAATAATTTAATAAATAAAGTGAAACAAAGTTTAGTAGTGATTTAAGGTAAAATATATAACAAGATTGTTGGACTGTTATTAAAAAAATTACCAACATTGTGCTTTTCTGTTATACGTAGGAAACCCACAAGGGGCCTAGCATGATGGCCAGGATGCGATATAATAGCATTATAATTGGAATTATACTGCATTTATTCACAACACCGCCTGCCTATTCAGGTACGTTTTGAATATACAAAATATACGTATTTGATCCTTCAAGTTTTAAAAAGATCACAATGATACTGGTTAATTAGTTAGAGCTTTCATAAGAGGCTTGACCGCATCCATAGCGTTGCGAACAGGATAACGACGGCGCTTTCCATGAAAATGTAGATAGACCAAAATAACTTATTAAAATAAAAAAAGCTCCTATAATGCAGGAAAATGTATATTTAAAGTTTAATAAGATTAAAGTCTGAGTTGTCAAAATGACCTGAAACCTATCTTTTTCGTCGGGCTAACAACCATCTAATTTAGTTTATTCGATATCTGGAAACGACAAAAAGAGCTCGAGACAACAACATTTGAGTCACTGAATAGAAAAATATTAGTTATTGTGGCTTTTTGTTAAAACGGCATGATGTAAATTCATTTCGAAATTAAACAAAGAAAGGAAGCTAAATTCGCACTCCGAAGTTTGTATACCCTTGCAGATAGCAACTAATTTATTAATAAATAATATAAAATAAATTATATATTATATAATTAATTAAATTAATGTTAAAAAACATCGAAGTGATGCCTACTTTCGTTAGATTCACCTATACATATTATATTTACAGTTTTACGATGACAGTTGTTTATTTCCTCTGCATTACATATACATATGTATGCTAAAGTCGTTACATTTTCATTAAATTTAAACCGAAGTTCTGAAACTAACATCCAACAAATTTGAAAGCTAACATCCCCACGCCGAAGTTTGTATACCCTTGCAGATTGCAATTCGATCATTAAAATTATAATTAAGTATATTTATTTCAAAAGCAAAGAAGTTATTCCTTTTTTTCATTACAGTCACCTATACTTATTATATTTATAGTTTTACAGTTACAGTTATATAATCATAGTTTGGCATTTAACATTTAACGATAGTTTCTATGGCAGCTATGTAATGATATAGGACTCGTCTATTGATGCTGCTCAAAAATATATATTTTATGGAGTCGGAAATGATTCCTGCACTGGGTTGCAAATTACTGAGTAAAGTTATAATAATCTGCAAGGGTACCATAATTCTTGAAGAATACATAAGTTTCCACTTAATCCATGCCTAATAATTTATTCCCCCTTTTTTTATCAGTGATCATGTTTTTTTGTATATAGTATTGGTTATTATAATTTTAGTTAACATTAAAATTGTTATCATCTGATTTTAATAAAACTTAAATCATTATTTTAAAAACGTAATTTATAATTATATATCAGATTATAAGCTCTGTCTCTTTATTATGAATTTAAACCCGTTACATTGAAACAAAAAAAAGCGCTAAATTTATCAGAGTAGATGAAAATATTTAAAAACCGCTTTAATTATTTTTTATAATTTCATAAATAGAAACTTTTGTTTTATAAGCATCGAACTTATTATAAAGTGAATCTTTAAACAAAAAAAAAATAATAATAATAATCAAAACACAGCATTTACATTTAACGATGGTAGATGGCTGCTATATGATATAGTCTCCCGATTTTTATAAAATTAAAACTAAATTTCTAAAATAATATAAAATGGCTTTATCTCAAGTTTAAAAACAAAAAAAGGTTTTAATTGTATCGTATCTTGATTTAACAAAAATTAAACTATGGATATAACTAAAATTTGAAAATTTTCTGATCGTTCCTACGGCAGCTATATGATACAGTCGTTCAATGCGGCCCGTTTCGATCTATTTACGACTGAGAGTATATCATTCAGGTAGCTTCAAAAATGAGAGTCTAGTTCGCTTAGAAACGGACAGACAGACAGGCATGGCTACTTCGACTCAGCGGTTAATGCTGATCAAGAATATGTATTTACTTTATAGGGTCGAAAATATATCCTTCACTGCGTTGCAAACTCCTGACTGAAATTATAATACCCTGCAATGGTATAAAAGGCAACATCTCTAAGTAGATAAAAATATTTAAAAAAAACATCGTCTCGATTTTTTTTGTAATAATTTGTCGATTGTTCCTATGGCAGCTATATGACATATTTGTTCGATTTTCATAACATTAACACAGAAATTCTAGAATAATACAAAACGGATATATGTACCTCAAATTTGTTGAAAACTGGAATAGCAAAATTTGTTTTTATATAAATACACAGCACCTTTTAAATGTTGAAGAAGTGTTCATTCTCGACCCCATTGGCTTCCTGCAAACCTTGTTCATGAGGATAATACGATGTTCAACCGAGTATCTTTTCATGCCTTTTTCTCCATTCTGAAACTTAACGCTAAATCGCGTCTATAGTGTTTTCAGGGAATGTACTAATTGTCACATCAAGTATTAGTGTACTACATTAGTGATAACATTTGACACAAAGGCTAGGGGTTTATACAAAGAAATGGGACGGACCAACAGACCACGAATAAATATATTTAATGAGAATAAAAAATATGATATTATTAAATTGAGATTTAAAACATAACAATATAAACGTATAATTTAAATGTGTTCAATTGTATGTGTATGTATTTATTTTTTGTTTTCCCAATTCCAGATGGAGCTTGCAATATTGGATGTACAAAAAGTAAGTTTTAATAATATTAAAAAAATTCCCCTTTCCTACTTTTTGTATTCTTCATTTTTAGCGGACACCGGACTTTTAAAATACCAAACTGGCAACGTGTATGATTATGCTTTTGACAGTATTTTAACTATTGGATTGAGTTCGGGTGTAGTAAGCGAAGCCGATGATACAAGTCTTAAAGTATCCGGATCTGCAAAAATCTTCTCTAAAGGGAATTGTGGGTATACTTTACAATTAGGATCAGTAAAAGTAACAAATACTAAAGAATCGGTAGAAAAAAAGATACTGAATAGTATAGCTAAACCTGTGTCCTTTACCCTGGTTAATGGCCTTCTCGAACCGCAAATATGCTCTGAACCCAATGATTTGGATTACTCTTTGAATATCAAGAGAGGTATTATATCCTTACTGCAATCGGCAATCGAGAGCCAGCAGGAAACTGATGTTTTCGGACAATGCCCTACGCATACCTCAGTAACCAAAAATGGTAATATCGATACAATAACTAAAGTTCGTAACTTGAACAGCTGTTCGCATCGGGAACAGATAAATAGTGCCCTAGTATCGGGTAAAATCAATGAGAAAGCGGGCTTAACTTCCAGTTTCCTCTTACAATCAAGCTATATTAAGGAATCTAAGATCGTAGATGGTCTTATAGAAAATGTTCAGCTCACGGAAACCTATAAATTTTCGGGAGCCACCAAAGGTAACTCTGATATAAGCGCCAAAGTTTTCACTCTGATTAAATTAAAAAATCCTGGAGGTACAAAAGCTGAAACACCTCAAACGGGGACCGTTGTTCGTAGCGCCATCTTTCAAAAACCGGAAACTTATTCATCGAAGAATATAAATGCCTTAAAGACTGTTTTGTCTGAAATCGTAGAGTCGACTGGTGAATATGTAAAGAAAGACAGTGCTAAAAAGTTTGTCGAGTTTATCCGTCTTCTTAGACAATCGGACGGTGATTCTTTATTGGAACTTGGAACTTTTCCCCACCCTAACAAGGTTTTGGCGCGAAAAGTTTACTTAGATGGCTTATTCCGAACCAACACTGCGGAATCTGCAAGAGTTATTCTCAAGCAACTCTCAAAATTTGACGATAAAGAGAAAATTTTGGCTATCTTATCCCTGAATCTAGTTGAAATTGTGGATAAAGAAACTATTACTTATGCTGCAGCTCAACTGTCACCATCAGCTCCGAAAGAGCTATACCTTTCCGTTGGTAGTTTGATTTCTAAATTTTGTTCAAAAAATAATTGCGAAAATGTTCCTGAAATCGAGGCAATAGTGAAAAAGTTTTCGGATGGCCTAAAACATTGTAAGCCCAATACGAAAAAGGATGAAGAGCGTACTGTTTATATCCTAAAAGGGCTTGGCAATGCAAACAGTTTAGGTGGCAATGCAAAGAGCTCAAGTGTAAAAGCTTTGATGGAATGCGCCTCCGTAGGACGTCCCAATCGCATTCGTATTGCTGCTTTGCAGGCATTCTCCTCCTTACATTGTGATCAATCTCTACAGAGTAAATCCTTACAATTACTTAAGGATACCAATGAGGACTCAGAGTTACGTATTGAAGCCTATTTGGCTTTAATTTCCTGTCCCAACGGAGAAATTGCCAATCAAATAGCAGAAATTGTAAATACGGAAAAAGTTAATCAAGTTGGTGGTTTTATAGCCTCAAATTTGAAAGCCATACGAGATTCAACAGACCCTAAGCGTGAACAACAACGATATTACTTAGGTAATATCCGAATTACAAAACAATTCCCAAAAAATTATCGCCGTTACAGTTTCAATAATGAATTATCATATAGTCTGGAGACTTTAGGCTTAGGAGCAAGCTCTGATTACTCACTAATTTATTCGCAACATGGTTTCCTGCCAAGATCCTTAAGGATTAATGTTACAACCGAGATCTTTGGCACCAACTTTAATGTCTTCGAGGCAAGTGTGAGGCAAGAGAACTTGGAGAACGTATTGGAATACTATTTGGGACCCAAGGGACTGCTGAATAAGGATTTTGATGAGCTGGTAAAGTTAATAGAAGTGGGAAACAGCGGAGCACCAGCAGCTGGAGGTCGTGCCAGACGTTCTATTGTGGATGAAGCTTCAAAGACGTCAAAAAAATATAAATCCTATGGAAGTAAGAACATACAAGACTTAAACTTGGATCTGTCCCTAAAGCTCTTTGGTTCTGAGTTAGCTTTCTTAAGCCTTGGAGATAATGTTCCTACGACTATTGATGACATTATTAGGCACTTTTCTGACTCTTTTGAAAAAGCGAAAAAGGAGTTGAGCTCTTTTGAAAAAGAACTGGTTTTTAACAATCTTTTCCTGGATTCGGAGCTAATATATCCAACAAGTATAGGTGTACCTTTGACGCTACAAGCTCAAGGGTTTGCTGCCACAAAGGTTGATCTACAAATTAATTTGGACATCGGAGCAATTATAGAGCAAAATTGGCAGAAAGCCAAATATGGTTTTAAGTTTGTTCCAAGCGCAGATGTAAATGTAAATTTACAGGTTGGATTTAATGCTCAAGTTCTCTCTACAGGACTTCGGGTAGTATCAACTGGACATACAGCCACTGGTAATGATGTTAGCGTAGCTTTTATCAACGATGGAGAAGGTTTTAAGTTTGACGTTGAGTTACCACGAGAAAAATTGGACTTGATTAATATACAAATCGAAACTGAGCTCTTTGTTTCTGAACAAGATAAGCCCACCAAAGGTATAGCTCTTAGAAGTTCCAAAAAGTCAAAGAACTCACCGGCCCAATCGAATGAGCTATGCTTCAATCAATTGGAAATTATTGGTCTAAACATCTGCATTCAGAGCTCGACAAGTTTAAATGATATTCAAGGAGGAAGTCAAGGAAAAGATCTTGCTATCTTAGATCAATTTCATCTATCGAAACCTTTCCTGTTTGGAATTACTTTAACTGCGGAACGTAAGTTTACCTTTAATGGCCTACATACAACTTCTGATGGAAGTCAAAAATGGAAATTGGATTATTCAACTCCCGGATCTAAGGTTTCGCATGATACCAGTGTCATTTTTGAACTTGGAACGAAACCTCGAACGTATACTAGACTATCTCTAGACAATACTCAGTTTCATTTTGCCATTGAAGGTGGTGTAAACAATAATAATCAAGAATTAGTTGTATATGGTCAATATGAACAAGATAAGGCGATCAAGAAAAGTAAAATTGGTCTTAGTAAAAATGGCAATGAGTACAAGCCCATAATAGAGATTCAAGATAATAATGGAGGAGTAACAAATTCTATAAATGGTTACCGTGCTGATGGTAAAATTACTGTACAGAAAACTAATGGGAAGCCAGAGAGATATACATTTGAGAACTTCCGTATATCCAATGGAAACGATGCTCGTATCATAGTTAATGGTTGGTCAGATGTCGGTCGAAATACCTTAGACTCTGAGCTACATATTTCTTCCGAAAAGGAGTCCTACCAGGTTAAAGGCAGTTTGAAATTTGAAAAAAATGGTCACTACGGCGCAGCGTTTTTCATCAACGATGAAAAATCACCGGAAAATGTGTATGGTAGCTCCGTACAATTGATAACGGCTGAACAGTCTTATGCTCTAAGAGTCATAGGAAAAGCTGCTACTTGGTCTATTAATAGTGATACTGATGTTAGTGTGGAGAAGGATGACAGCAGTACAAACCCTTTAAGATCCGGAAAAGTGACGTCAAGTCTTGAAGTTCAAAATAAAAATAAGCAAGTTGCTGGTATACAGATAAAAACCACATTTGACTCGCATAACTTTGATATTAATGCAGAAATATTACGTGAGCAGAAAATTGGATCCCTCAATCTAAAATACAAAAGCAACCAGAGAACCCCTCAGGATTATGCATTGGAAGCCAAGGCGACACTAAACAAACACTCGATCGATATATTATCGAAAAGGGACTTGAACAACAATTTATATGTTATAGAAAACGTGCTAACCACTAGTTGGGGCACTTCTCTATCTCTTAAAGGTGACCTAGGTCAACGCTTTAGCCCCCAGGATATCCACATTGATATTCAGGGTAACCTTCAATTAAGTAACAAGGATAAGCCTTCCCAATGGATTTTAAAGGCAAATGGAACACCAGATAAGACCAGTACAGAATTTAGAGTTATAAGAGATTCTACAGAAATTGTCAAGGTAAACGGAGAATCCCAACATCCTCAAGATAAAGTCGCCGCTGTTAAGCTCAATGTAATAGTTAAGAACCTCTTAACTGCCAAGGGAGATTTTCGAGTAGCCAAAAATGGAAAAGGAGAGCTCTTAGCCACTATTGAGACCCAAAAAACGGAACCCAAACATAAAATAGAAGTTGATTCGAAATTTCACATACTAAATCCAAAATATGATATCGATACAACAATTACTTTTGATGGCGAAAAGAAGCTACACTTTAAATCTGAGAATACCCTTGACAAGAGCAAGTTTACGACCAAAAATATAGCTGAAGCCAATGAAAAGAAACTAAGTTTTGAAGCAAATGGCAGTGTTAAAGGTGAAAGTCGTGAAAATGGAGAAGTGCAAGGTGGTTTTAAATTAACAACACCTTCTGGACGCATTATCGATGGTAGTGTCATTAGGAAAGTGTCTACAATCGCTAAAACTGGTATTATCCAGGGCAATATTGAAGCCACAATTAGTGATACATCATCGGGGGGCAAACGTTCTTTGGTCATGAAAGGAAAACTTGATCGCTGGAATTCTAAAAGCAAAGAGTTTTCAGTAAATACCAATTTAATATTTACTGATTTTGATGGTCAAAAATCTGAGCTAAGCTATCAAATTAAACAGCAACCCAAAGGTGATATTGCAAAGAATTTGGAATTTAAACTGAATGCTCAGGGTAAACCCCTAAATGAGCCTATTGAGGTGACACTTGTCCTAAACGATTATAGTCTCCAAGGCGCTTCCGTGACTTTGTCCACAAAATACGGTGACTCCGTAACACTCACTTTAAACGGTAATTTTAATAATAATAATCAGAAATCTTATGAGCTTGAAACAAACCTAAACATTCCAAAATCGAGCCTTAAGTTTATAAACATTAAGAGTAATGGTAAGCTATTATTGCCTTCGACACAAGACAGTGTCAACGTTGCGGCTAATGAAGTTGCATTCCTATTCGACGGAAAAACAGGCCAAGAACAATACGCACGAATCGACGCATTATGGCAGAGTACTTCAAAATCTGGAACTTATAAAGTTGAAGCTCAAACAAATAATATGAAATCGCCATTGATATTTAATGGTAAATATCAAAAGGATTCTGAAAAACTAGATAATATTGGTCACGTTGTTACTGGTCACCAAAACTTTTTATTTAATGGACAATATGGCGAGCAATATGTGAAAACGGAAGGTTCCATATCCTATGGTTCTGATAAAACGGAGCTAGCTTATAAACTTGATACCAGCCACGAAAAGGCTAAGGATATAGAAGTTCATATCAACACTGAAAAGTCACCCGATGATTCCACTTTCTTGGTAAAAGCATTTGCTAAACAGACAGATAAATCTTATAGTTTCGATACAAAATTGTATCGCTCTGCCCATAAAAAGGGTCTAGATGCACGGCTAAAATTACCAAAAGAAAAGCCAATTGTTTTTACTAGCATTGTCGAGATTTTAGGCGAACGAAAGGCCAAAATAATCCTGGAAATCGATAATCTCGCCGAATTAGACCTGCAGGTCAACGGTGAAGCTTCGTACACAAACATTGATGATTTCTATGTCATCGGAAGCTGGAACTCCAAGAAATTAAAACTGGATAACTACCAACTTGAAGCACGGGCTCAAGGTAAAAACCTTAAAATACAACTTAAGAATGCAAGCAATGTAATATTCTTGGGTACAACTACCTATTCGTTGAAGAAAGAGCAAAATAAATCAATTATCGATGGCCAAGGTCAAGTTACATATCAGGGTAAATCACAGTCTGGTAATTTTAAATTAACGCGACAACATTATGACATAAATACCGATAAGGAAGTTGGTTTCTCATATACCTTAAATGGTAATTTTGGTTCAAAAAATGGCGTTTCTACTATAAAAATCACAAATAAGGAGTTTAATACCAAATTTTCTGTTTGCGAAGAAAAGAAGCAGTGCACAAATATCCAAATTCAGTCTCTCGTAAGCATCGATGATATCAAATTGGATGGTATTCAGCATTCTACATTGATCTTAATTGATCTTCGTGAACTGGGCTACCCCTATGAATTCGAACTCAAGTCCCAAAATACGCGTCAAGGTCTAAAATATCAATACCATCTGGATAGCTTTATAGTGTCGGGAAATAACTTAAAGTACCAATTTACTGCCAATGTACAACCGTCGTCATCTATTTTAAAGTTAACTTTGCCGAAACGACAATTAGTATTGGAATCCGCTCAGAAAATACCCAAAAACGGAAATGTCTTTGGCCATTATGAGCAATCAGTTGCTTTCTTTATCGATAAGCTAAATCGTCCAGATGATGTGGCTCGCTTATCGGCTATTGTCGATGTATCAGGAAAAGAGCGCGTTGCACTCAACGCTCAAGGTGCGATCAAATTGGAACATCCAAATATACGTTCTTTAAGCGTATCAGGACGCTTTGATGGTAATCTCGAACAGCAAGTATCGAATTTAGAAATAGTTTTCGATATATTCCGATTGCCGGAACAAAAGGTAATAGTAACCAATGAATTTAGCAATGTACGCTCGAAAAAGGGTATCAATCTTGCAACAAAGTCGAATATTAAGTCATCAGGACTTAAATTCCAATATCAAGCTATATGTAACGCCGACATTAATCGTGAAGCTCAAGAACTTAAGCTTAATCTCGATCTTAATAATGGCAAAAGTAGCTTGCAGGCAACCTCCTTTTTGAATAAAGAAAAGGTGGAGATTACTTTGAATGAGTCGAAAAACCAAATTGTTAAATTCGTGGGAGACTTAAACAAACAAAAACGTTCTGCAAAACTGAATTCGAAACTGCAAATTCTGAATAAGAAGCCCCTCGAAATTACTGCCGAAATCCAACCTACATTTGCCAAACTATCATTGAAACGTCCGGATCTCATAGATAGCAATGCGGAAATAAAATTGGGCAAAGAATTCAAATTCGATATTTCTGGTAACGGAAAACAACTGCTCAATGGACGTATAGCATTGGATCCTACAAACTTTTTGCAAACTAATTATATGGCAAGCGAGGAAAATGTTAAAGAATTCTGGGTAAGTGTGTATATCTGTACGTAGAGCTTGAAGTAATGTCTTTATATTAATATGTTGATAAAACATTCATGTTGTACTATTTCGGAATTGTATGCAAATCGGATGATTATATTATATACATAGCTGCCATAGGAACTGTGTAAACCTGTAACTGTAAATTTGTACAGTCTCGTTGTTTTTTCAACATAAATACATACATATGTACATATTGTATAATAAATCTATGGATATATAATTAATGATCCGATTGCAATATGCAAGGGTATACAAACTTCTTGCCGAAGTAAGCTTTCGTTCTTGTTTGAATTTATAGCTACCTTTATTTATAATATTTTTACTTTAATTTCAGGAAAAAGTCGAATCAGAAGTTAACAAAGACGCTGAGGATATTTCGCAAAATATCAAAAACAAATTTAATCAGTTAAAGCAGGAGAGTGAAGCAATTGTTAAGTTGGCACAAGAATCATATCCCGATTTCACGAAATTTAAGGTTAAATATGATGAAACTGTCAAGGCATTCATTCAAGAGCTCGAAACGGATCCATCAATTGCACCGATTATTAATGGAATGTAAGTATAGATATTTGTAAATTAAGTTAATTATATTAATATTATGATATAAAATTAAAATTAATTATATGATATAAAATTAAACAAAAATAATAATGCTTATTTTCAGTCGCACACTGTTTGAAAAATTCTCTGGGCTAATTGACCAACTGACTAAAGCTGGTACCGAAGCATACGAAAAAATACAAAAGTCTTTAGTGGAAATCTTTGACAAGTTGCACGCTCTATGGAATGACTCTATTCTAAAAGCCTGGGAAGAATTATATTTAACGGCAACGAAATTAATTACTCAGTTGTATAATGAAATATTCGCAGTGTACAAGAAATTATTCGAAAATAGTTTGGAAGCATTAAAAAAATATGGACCAGTGTTGAAAAATTACAGCAAGGCATTCGCGGAATTCTTAAAGCCACTGAATGAAGCTCTACAGGAATTGATTAAGGTTGTGTCTCATGCTGTCGAAGAGGTGATTGACGAATTTAAAAAGTATGCTGCAAATATTCCCACGTTTGAAGCGATTCAAAAAGAAATTAATGAAAAAATTGAGAGTCTAAAATTAGTTGACAAAACTATTGAGTTTATAAACAGTCTGTTTGACCAATTGAGTATTTTGCCACAAACCCAGGAGACAACGCAGTTCTTAAATAAACTACATGATTATTTGGGTGCAAAACTTAAAAAGCAACAAATTAATGACGAAAAAATATTGGAAGAACTTGGCGAACTTTTACTGAAATCCATTCGCTCCATATGGATATCGTTAATGAGTACTGTTCCAGCCACTACGTCATCGGCACATGCTATCGATTTCCAAACGTGGTTTGGTTCACTGTCCCATGCTGTTGATAACTTTGCCGTCATACCTACATTGCTTTCATTCCGTTTAAGCGCCTGGAACTATTTATCGAATGAGAATTGGGAAGCGATGTTTACCAAGGAATGGCTAAACTCGTGGATATTCTTCAATGACTTTGAACTAAGAGGTCACATCGTTGATGGTTCGCATATATTCAGTTTCGACAACCAGCATTTTGCGTATCCGGGCAACTGCCGATATATCCTGGCTCAGGACAGTGTAGACAATAATTTCACAGTTATTGCTCAGCTATCAAACGGAAAACTAAAGGGTATGTCTTTGATTTTATATCTATAATTGATTTGAAGCTTATGTCCCAAGCGGTCCACAAGTTTAGGGACATATTAATTACTCTGAAATACAATAAAGTGCAAATTATTATTATTATTTATGCATGTTTGGTGAAAATGGCAGGATAGTGAAAAGTTTACTTTATAACACTAAACTGTTAAACCATCAGTGGGCCATCGATCTTTTCGAACTTTTTGGGGATACTAATAAAACCATTGCTTCGCATAAAATTAAAGCATTAGAGATATTTTTTAATGTAAATATGTATAAATTTAAGAGTATAACTTTAAAAACTAATCTTTTTTTTTTAATTTATAATATAATTTGAATAATTTGTTAGATTCGCAGACTTAAGTTATATTTATTTATTTATTCCAAGCTTTATTTTTTTTTTGACAATACACGATTATTTTTTAACATCGGGATACTTGTTTATTTAAATTGATATTTGGTATTCGCGAAGCTTTTTCTATCGATAAATTGTTAAGCCTACATTTACAAAAAGAAAGAAGAGCTAACAAACAATAACATTATAATAAACTATTTATTACATTTTGTAGGTATTACACTTATCGATCGCGATGGAAACTATGCCGAAGTGTCCGACACTCTGGCCTTAAAACTAAATGGAAATGCTGTTGAATATCCACAACATGTATCAGGTCTGCATGCTTGGCGTCGCTTCTACACAGTGCACCTACACTCGGAATATGGTGTGAATGTTGTTTGCACTACAGATTTAAGGGTATGCCACGTCAGTGTGAACGGTTTTTACACAAGCAAAACACGCGGGCTGCTCGGCAATGGCAATGCTGAGCCCTACGATGATTATTTGCTAATTGATGGCACCATATCGGCAGACTCAAATGCACTAGGTAACGATTACGGTGTTGGAAAATGTCCTATTGTGTCAGGATCAGCTGATCCGGTGGTTCAGAGATCGGAAATTTGTAGCGAAATCTTCGGCTTGGAGTCACCACTTGCTTTACATTTCCTAACTGTGGATTCGAGGCCTTATCGCCAGGCTTGTGATGTTTCTGTGTCAAAACTACCAGAAAAAGATAAGGAAGCCACTGCCTGTGTCTTTGCCCTGGCCTATGGATCTGCCGTTAAGCAAATTAACAAATTTGTGATATTACCAAAGCGTTGCATTAAGTGTGCTGGTCCTGCGGGTCAGCGTGAACTGAACGATGAATTTACAGTTAAATTGCCCAACAACAAGGCAGATATTGTATTTGTCGTTGATATAAATGTAACTCCACCAGTTTTAAACAACTTGATAGCACCCGCTATTACCGATCTGCGGGAATCCTTGAAAAGTCGCGGCTTTACTGATGTACAAATTGGAGTTATTGTTTTTGATGAAACCAAACGATACCCTGCCTTACTGACCAGCGACAATGGAAAAATTAATTACAAGGGCAACGTGGCCAACGTTAAGTTAAATGGCATTAAGAACTTCTGTGAGAACTGTGTGGAGCAAATAATTACAGAAAAACGAATTTTAGATATTTATAATTTGGTGAAGCAGCTGGTGAATAGTGTTGTGCCTCAAGCCGATGAAAAAGCATTCCAAATGGCTTTGGATTATCCATTCCGTGCCGGCGCTGCTAAAAGTATAATTGGTGTGCGTCACGATTCGTTGGAATATAAAAATTGGGTGAGTTATTGGTAGTAGTACAAAAATAAAATATATATATTTTTATATTATTATTCATTTAGACTAGTCAGCGTTTTGGGGTTCGGGTCACCCTTTTAGAGAATTATAAAGAACGAAGTCATTGTCGATCCTAAATTCGAACTAAATTCAATCAAACTAAAATCACAAATGTGAATAGCGGTTTAGATCTGTGGACTGTCCCTGAATATCTAAAACTACAGCTAATAATTAAAAAAAAAATTATATATATAATTTAAAAACCAAGACCCATTTTTCAAAATTTTTTTTTTTAAATCCATATATTCATCCAATTATAAATTTCATAAACTAATCGACTAAACTAAAATATTCAATTTTTTTTCAGTGGAAATATGTACGAGCCCAATTAACTGGTAGTCTTACCAAATTTGACGGAGCGCTTCTCCATCTGATTGCACCTGTTAAAGGACTTACATTAGAGGGCGTTACAGCTGAAAAATTAATTGGTGCGTATTTTAATAATTTAAAAAGTCGACTTAAACAGCTCAACACTTTTTTGTAACGTTGGTTGCGTTCAGCAGAACAGCATGGCCATCGATCAGTGATGGATCATATTTTCAGTGGTCAAAAGTGTTCTGCTGAACTCACTATTCATTACGCCGTCTGGAACTAATCGTTATCGTCCGGCTTCCTGCCAACATTCATTTAATTTTACTTATAAGATAATTGAAATTTACGTGTACTGTACGTACACCTGAAAAGGGTTTTTAAAGATATTTCTTAAATTATTCAAGCATTCGTTTTGTCCATTCCCGCAATATAGCTTAATATATATTTTTTCTTTTTTCCTCAGGCTTCAATTCTCGCTTGGTGGCCACGGTTGATGGCAAGGACAACAAAAAACGAGCGAAACTGCAGTTCGATAATGATATGGGAATTGATTTTGTATTGAATAATGGAGGCTGGGTATTTGCCACGCAAAACTTTGAAAAATTAAAGCAGCCCGATCAAAAGAAAATGTTAGGACAGATTACAACATCGATCGCCGATACTCTATATAAAACTGAAATCGTTAGTGATTGCCGCTGCCTGCCTATTCACGGATTGCACGGCCAACACAAGTGTGCTATTAAATCTTCGTCGTTTCTTCCAAATAAGAAGGCCAAAGCTCACTAAAACCTAATTTTGTCCAAGTGTCCTTCATTTTAATGGAATCATTCGAATAGATAAAAAAATATATATAAATACAAAAATGTGATATCTCAAGCTTTTTTATTTGAGCAATTTATAGAAAGGGAGAAAATATTTTTTTACGCGCAAAAAGAGTTATTCTATTGAAGTATAACCGTACTTTTAAGAAGACTTTTGGCCTCCTTGGAGGGCAAATGAAGTAGTCATACCATATTAATACCATCATACCAAAAAACAGGGACGATCACCTCCAATGGTTAATTTTGGTTTGTGGACAACCACAACATCATGCAGTATGAAACGAATATGACGTACCTTTGAAATAATAAATAATAATTAATAAAGGCAAGGAAGAATCGCTTTCTGGTTCATACAAGAGCATTGTGATCCCATTGGCCATACCTCTGTACTCCTAGCCTTGGGTAAAGCTGGGAAAAGCTTGGGAAAATCGAGTGAAAAAGAGTGAAAGTGAAAAAGCTAAATAACTCGTCCCAGATAATTGAGGGATTCGAGAGATAGGCAATACTATGGCTTGAACGACGGCATACTTCTTATTATTTTTACTCTTTCCTTTCAGCTCTCACCCACTCAAACAAATATAAATTATAAATAATAAAGTATAATTATAATCTTAAATAATTTATACATTTTTAGAAAATTTAATTCTGATAGAAAGGGGATCTTCATTTTGATGACAAATTAATTTAATAATATTAATTTTTATACCATTGCAGGGTATTATTGGTTTTGTCAGTTTGCAACGCAGTGAAATAGTCATTTCTGACCTTATAAGGTATATGTATTCTTAATCAGTATCAAGTGTTGAGTCGATCTAGCTATGTCCCCCAGTCCTTCCATTTGTCCGTTTCTACGCAATCTAGTCCCTCAGTTTTGAAGCTATCTGAATTAAACTTTGCAGTTAGCTTCTACATACTCTCACAAGTATATATGTAAGTCGGAACGGGCCGGATCTGCCATTGGCATGATCAAAAAATGTAAAAGGAATATATATAACTTTTCCATATTTTTTTATCTAGTTTCAGATAAAACAATTTTCTATTATTTTATAATTTTCATTTTAATTTTATTAAAATCGGAAAACTATATCATATATGTAGCTGTCATAGAAAACAACGTTAAATGTAGATAAAAATGCAAAACTGTGAATGTAAAACAGTAACTGTAAATATAGTATGTATAGGTGACTGTAACGAATGCAGGATTTACTACGATGTTTTTTACATTAATATTTATTATTTATATTTTATTAATTATTATCGAATTGCACTTTAAATTTCGGCTTGCCGAAGTTAGATATAATAGGCACCTCATTGATTTATTCAAAAATACAAATGCATATTACTTTTACACGATTTTATAATGTATTTGGATTGAAATAGGCACTTCATAATTCTGGATTTGTCACGTAAATTTACATAAATATTGTCTATCAGCCTCTTTTACAATACATTAATAATATTGAAAAAGGCTTATATGTGGCATTAACATTGTGGTTTTACAGTTTTTTTTTAAATATATATTAAATATTGCCATTTGAAGTAATCCGCATGATGTTCCATGTGTATGTCTGGACGGAAAATACAATATATGTATAAATTGCCAAGATAGCGGAGCAATCGCTGTGAATATATAAGTAATAAAGTTATGAAGTTTACGATTCATTATTATTAAAGATTTCGAATTTTGAATAGATTTCAAATCAACTGGAAGGGTCTCCAAAGAGAGAATACTTAAACAGAGTACCGTTGCAATGATGATGAGTAACTGAGCGACTAAACCTTTTCCGTTCTAACTGTTCTCTGTTCAATCGTTAAATTTAGCTTAATGGTAAGTTTTTTAACTTGCTAATATCTGTGCAGGTGCTCATTTTTTCAGTTTTGCTCACTTGATCAGTTGCTCAAGTTCTCTCACTTGCTCCTTATTAATGCATTTTTTTCTTATTGATCAGTCACATATTTAAATGTCTGGCCTGTGATGAACATGGCAGTAAACATCGATACTTCAAAATATCGACATAAGTATATCTTAATCTTTTGTATTTACTCAACACTAGTAACCACACCTACATATATTTATTTCTGACCCTATAAGTATCATCATCAACAACCTTGTCGACGGCCAAGTCTATCTCAGTCTGTCCATCCGCCTGTCTGTGTGTTTCTACGCAAAAGAGTCTCTCAGTTTTTAATCTCAATCAAACTTTGCAGTTAGTTTTCTATATACTCTGAATCGTATACATGCAAGTCGGAACGAGCCGGACCGGACGACTATATAATATACATGCCATAGGAAAAAAAAAAGGAAGGAGTCATCTCCGACCATATAAAATATATATTTTCTTGATCAGCATCAACATCCGAGTCGATCTAGCCATAACCGTCTGTCCGAGTGTCCGTTTCTACGCAAACTAGTCTATATCGGAAAGGGCCGGATCGGACGACTATATCAGATAGCTGCCATACGAACGATCGATAAATTTTTACAAAAAAATGTATAACATTTTTTTTAGTCTAACGAATTTTCAGTTTTCTACAGTTTTGTGTAAAATTTAAAAATCGGAATAATATATCATATAGCTGGAACGATCGATAAATTAATACAATTAAAATTTATAACTTTTTCTGTTTGCAATAGGTTTTCATCAAATTTGGGATTTAGCCATTTTATATTTTTGTACAATTTTGTGTAAAATTAAAAAAAAAAAATTGGACGACTCTATCATATTGCTTCCATACAAACAATGGTTAGATATAAAGTAAAGTGCAAAACTATAAATTTAACATAAATATATACATTTATATTGCATTAATTCCTAGTGATCAAATTTCGGCGTGCCGAAGTTAGCTTTCTTTCTTGTTTTTTAATATTTCAGACTTTCGGGTTTCATTTTATTAAAATAGAACTACGTATGTATGCATATTATATAGCTGCCATATAAACGATCGTAAACGTTGAGGAAAATGTAAAACTGTTTTCTTTCTTGTTTTATATTTCAGTTATTTATGCTTAATGTTTAACATCAATTATTAAAACCATAAACTAAAGTAATTATTTATATCTTAAGGATGTTTTCGGCAATAATATTTGGAAACAATTTCAATGCAATTTGAAGTCCTTGGGGATTTTACAAATTTTTGTTAATGGTTTTTAGTACTTACGCTAAGGGCAACCACATTCGTCAACAACCATTTTGGGCAAGTCTCTTTTAATGATACCATCATCACCATAGTAGATTAAGGACATGCTGGAGAACTTGATGGGTGCACAGCAGGGCCGCATTCCATTAAGAAGACCCAGTTTTCGATACTCCTCAATAAAGTGAGCATGAAACGTTTGAAACGTGTCGGGGGTACGAAAAGTTCCTGTACAATCACCACGACAGTAGTTTGCAAAGTATCCTCTGGGAGCTATAATCCAATCATCCCAGCCGAGCGCCTTAAAGGATACGTAAAATGACTCTTTGCAGCACTGTCCACTTAAGGCACCACCACAATCCACAGCACGTCGCCGGACACGTCGCGCTCTGGCAGATTCCGTATGCAGAACGAGAAATGGTCGATTCGGGTTTAGGATTATTGAGTTATTTGACGATCTATCACTTATTTTCGATGTTTGAAATAGGTGCAATGAGTAACGACCACCACAGCCAGTGCAATCAATCAGAAGTCTTAGCTTTTCGTCGCCACCATGGCCTCCGTACCATTCCCGGATCGTTTCAGTTAAATCGAATTTTTGCCATCCCAAATGTTTGGTGTTAACCTCAAAAGAAGCACGGAAAAGGATCGCCTTGTCGATGCCCTAAATACAAAATTATATTGTAATTATTATTTATATTACACTTAGGATAAAAATAAAGTTTATTAGACCTGTCAAAAATCGATATCTTTGATATTATAATTTCTTTTATCAATAAAATGCAATTTAATTTTTTGCAGACTTGTATAACCTTCCAGGGTATTATAATTTTAGTCAGAATTTGCACCGCAACGTTCGTTAAATGCGGAAGAAAATTCAAAACAATGAATGCAAAACTGTATCTGAAAAAGTAACTATAATCTGTATAGGTCAATGCAATGAAAGAAGGAATTACTTAAATGTTTTTATATAAATATATATAATTTATATTGTATTAAATACTATTGATCGAATTGCAGTCTGCAAAGCTATACAAACTAAAAATTAGCTTCCTTTCTTGTTCAAATAAAATCAAATTTAATTACAATTATTATTATTATTAATCGATATTTTTACTATATTTATTAATGTTTATCTATCGCCATCGATGTTATGACTTCTGTGGAATTAAATACCATTTATTTATTTGTTTAATTATACCCTAGCAGAGCATTTTAATTTTAGTCTGAAGTTTGCAACTCAGTAATAGTTATTTATGTACATATGCACCTTAGGATATACATACATTCACATGTAAGTCGGAACAAGCAAAATCGGAGGACTGAATCATAAAGCTGGAATAGGAACGATCGAAAGGTTTGTATAAAAAAAACTGTTCAAATTTTTAACATATTTTTATCTACTTCAAAATACTTTTTTATTGAAATTCAGAATTTAGGTTTTTATTTAAATTTAAATTGTAATTTAATATCGAATAGCTTTCCTAGGAACGATTAAGAAAGATAGTGGAAAATTAAGAAAAGGGTGAATGTAAAACTTCAACTGTAAATGTGATATTTTTTACGTATATGTAATTAGGATGTTCAAAGTATATATATATATATATATAGGCGTGCTCCGGTTTTCACTTTTTTTTCGAATTCGATTTGGGTGAAATCGTTCGATTTCGATTTTAGCTGCTCCGGCTTTCACATAATTTGAATGTTTTGTTTTCTCATCGTTTATTACTTCTCAAACAGCTGACTTCTTATCTGGTTAACAGCAAACAATGTGAAAAATTTTTATAAAATAACCACGTGCCAGAATGATCTACTGACGGTGCGGAATAAACATCAGTAGACCACTGAGTAAATCTTTTTTCCCCTTAAATAAGATCAGATTTGATGTAGAAACAGGCCAGACAAAAGTGCCCGATTTGCAAATCGCTAGAAAGTAAAAGTGAAAGGGAGCACCGATTTATGTTTTCAAAATCGAAACGGATTTTAAAATATTTTCTTGAATTATATCGATCAAATTATATTATATGCAAAATAATAATTAACGTATTAATATATATTTATGCTAGTTTTTAATTATTTGACTTCAATGGACAGATTCCAAATGACCCAATTGAAAACTGCAAGGGTATAAAAACTTCGGCGTGCCGAAGTTAGCTTCCTTTCTTGTTTCATACTGCACTTGCCTTCTCCGTAATATTAATGCCAGCTGTTAACTCAAATATCCATATTTTGATTTTGTGATTCCGCCATTTGCGCTTGGCATTTAAAACATAATCTTCGTCCTGGAAATTTGTCGTTTTCGCCTTGTCGATCCAATAATTGTGGGGCTTATCGATCCGTATGTGTATCTGAGCACTCCGTATCGATAGTTTTTGGTTAGGAGGGACAATACGTCGGTTTTGGGGGAAAACTCAAGTATTCGATATTGTCGATATTGCGTTCCTGGAACATAATAATAAATTGGTGAGGATATAAAATTACTACTAAACTTACCTTCTTCTGCAAATGTTATTATTTCCCGAGTATTACCGAAGTAGTCTTCGTGATCGTCGATCTTATCGTGTTCTTCGTGATTCGGCTCGAAATGTCGTTTCTGTTTCTTGTCATTCTCATCTTCAATACTTTGTTGGATCTTTGTCTGAACATGGTAATCTCTAAAATAATCATGATCATAATTGTTTCTGATACCAATTTTGATGGCACTATCACTACTGCGATTTAAATCTAACAGATATGTAGATTTTCCAATACTACTAAGTGTTCTTCGTTGACTTTCAGTAACAGTAACAGGATTTGAACGACTTTTGTCCTTAGACCCAAGCTGAGGATAACTTGCTGCCAACTGACGTAACTCTTTCCAATTCTTAATGAACCTAATTTTTGTTGTATCCTCTTTTTCCGCATGGTATCTTTTTCCATATTGGTTTTTTAGTAACCTCTCATAGGCATTGCTTTTAGTTATATTCCAAGTACGATCGGAAGCTGATCGATATTGAACATGATCACTTGAAGCATCAATGAATGTATGCCATTCTGTTAGAGTATTGCGTCTGGAAAGCGAATGCTGTTGTTGTCGCTGATGATCATTGTTGATTATCATCCTTCCACCATCTGCCCGATAAATGGTTTCCCATATAAATTGCTTTGGTAAGGGATGAGAGACATTTGGCTTGTGAGTTAGACCAAGTTTAGTCAAAATTTGCCTTTTGATTGATTCCAAACGAATATGATCGCTAGTTGGAATTTTGTTGTAATATTGTTGTTGATTATTTGTTTTTTTGTTGAAGTAATTGTGGTTGTTATTATGTTGGTATTTATTGTTGTAGATGTTGTTGTAGTCTGTATGTGGATTATTATCTGTGTTGTAAATTGTGATAAAAGTGTATTAAGTGTTATGGGTGTATGTTCCACTACCCAGAGGTTACAAAGTATTATAGTCTAGTACCAACCTTAAATATATGTAACAGGTAGAAGGTAATATCTTCCATGCACGAGCATGCTGCGTATCAGAGCAGGCTATTATAATTTTTACCAGAAGTTTGCAACGCAGTAAAGAATCGGCCTTAACAGATACGGATCCATATAGCCATGTTTGTTCCATAAATAGAAATTAGCCTCACAGTTTAATACTCGGCGTTGCAAACTTCTGATAAAATTATAATAGCCTGCGATCAATATTTCTAAACTAAGGTATAATTTTGCGTCGAAACGGACAAACAGAAGGCTGTTGATGCTGATCATTAATATATATGTATACTTTATGGGGTCGGAGATTCCCCTCCGACAGGTTACGTATTTTCTCAGTTGGCACTAAGCTTGTACTACACGGGTATAATAGAAGTTGGAATACTATAATATACAAGGACAAAAGAAAATAAATTTTGAAATGTTTAGGAACCTAAACACTCTATTAATCTTTCTTCAGCTTCTATAAGAAAATGTTAACCTTCATTTTGAATTTAGTTACCTTTATCATTATAAATGCTGCTTTTGCTGCCACCTCCTGCCTCATGGCACAAGGTGCATCCCTTGTGAGATTCTAATGTAGAAGCATAGAAATTGGTGCTGCTAATGCCATTGCAATTAATTAGCTTAACTTCAAACCAGACAAGACCGATCAGAAGCCAGATGAGATTAGCGCGATTGCGTTTATTTATCTTTGAGCAGTTCCGCATTGATAGCAAGTCCTTCAATGTCGAGTCCCGCACGGTCCTTGGCGTTGTTCCAACATAGCTTACTTTTAATGTATCGAAGGTTTGGCAAAGGCTTGGCCTTTGTTGCAAGACGCTCTTGTTACTTCTACTACTTATTATTTGCTGCTTACTATATTTATTATTATTGTTTATTTGTTGCCACTGCTTCCTCTTAGTCATATGTCTATGGCGACGACGCCTGCGACGCCGTCGGCGCCGCCTTCTTCGCTGCCGCTTGCTTTTTAGACCATGGCAGAACATCTTGCATAAATAATTTGATCTTAATTGCTGATCATTGGTAATGTCATAGAAGTATTTCAGGGCGACGGTATTCGTGTTGCCACTTATTGCCGAAGAAGCTTCAATAACCGTTGTAGGAACAGAAGATGCAGTCACCAGCACTCCTTGACTTCGCTCACCATTGCTTCCGTCAGAAGCATTGATATCGAGTAGAATGCAGCTTGTAAGCAGGGTTACAAATGCCGTTGCCCATCGCGCCAGGAGCAGAATCAGCTTTGATACGCCCAATCTATCGTTTGGGGGATCGAAATCTTTTTTTCTTGTCACTACTTGAGGTGTGTTTCGAGAGCTGGAGGCACTGCAGCTGGTGATGTTGTAGCAGGAACAACAATTTGGAACGACAACGCAACATCCTTGACGGCAGCACAGACATTGACAATTGTAGAAGCATTTGTTGTTGCTGTTCCTTATTGTTCCCTTTCCAGGCGCCTGTGATTGTGTTTCGAAAGCCAGCCGCATCGTTTTGTTGTTTAATTGGTACAAGCAGTATCGACAGTCTTATTGCATTTCAATCCATTTCTTTAGTTTGGGGTGAAATCAGCTTTCCTGTGTTAAAAAAAAAGGGAAAACGAGACTTGAGCTTTCTTTTGAAAATAATGTTTACGTTAAATATTGTATATGTTTATATACTCCGCAAAATAGCACCGGCAACTGTTACATTTTTGGGATGGTTTTGAACTAATTGATTTTTTAGTAGTTCTAGTATAGAAAACGGTATTCTTAAGCGTCACCACACACACACACACACACACACACACACTCGATATATCAATATACATACATATGTAAAAGACAATAGAAACCAGACAAGACGACGCCAAGTTTAGTCATAAACTGTGAGTAGCGGAAGCTACAGCAAAAGCAAACAATAAAATGAACAAATAAATGTGATTTTGCGTAGTAGATATTAACAATTCACATTTGGCAATATAATGTTGGTAATATAATCTGTTAATACATAATAAATGAACGTTTTCGTTTATTTACCGAAATGAAAACTACATAAATAACCTGCAGTCCGATGTCTTTAATATATTTTTTTTATTTCAACACGTTAAAAAATATCATATTTCACATGCTTTTAATTTTTGTTTACTTGATAGGATGTAGGATGAAATGTGTTTTTTTATAACTTCTTCTAAAGATGACATTGCATACTCTTTGGCAGCAATACTAGTGAAGATAACCCGAAAGCTTTTCCAGAGCTTTTTGGGTGATGAAAGCGTCGTAGAATTGCCAAATAGCTGTAGTTAACACATCTGGCAAAGCCATTGATTCAAGAATCGATTGAAATGTATTCGATAAGAAATAATCGTTAAAAGCGGTTACATTGTCTGCATTTGAACAGTAAAGCTGTTTGGGTGGGCGGAAAGCTTTATTCTTTTCACTATTTCTTCGTAATTTGTGAAGGGGAAATGTTGCGGTTTGTTAGCCCGGCTCTTTTGAAACTTTAGACCATTTCACTTTTTATTGCTTGGGCATCGATTTATAATTTTCCCAAAGCGATTGACGTGCATTCTAGCAGTAGCTTCTCCTTTGAATATTGTTGCCATTTGGAAAACCTGTACAAGGATCTCGGATTATTCGATACGGGTGGATCGGTGTGCCGTTCATTAAATAACATGGTTTCTATTCTAACATACTTCCTTGGCCCACCCATCGAATCAGTCTTGGATGAAGCTGGAAATAGCGTCCAACGTTGTCCACGATATCGACCTGGCAAATGTCTGGCGTTTAATAATCTGTTCCTGGAGCATCGAGATCTCTCAGATTGGCTGAATTTTTGAATTCGTCTTTTCCGCACATTTTTGTTCATGGTGGGATAAAAAATTTAAAATATGCAAGGAACCTGCAAGTGAGACCGAGTGGCAAATGGTCGCGAACTGCCTGTTTCAATAAAATTTTAATTCTTTTTGTAGGCCGCTCGAAAAATACTAAAAATACTAAAAGCCATCTAACTATCTAGTATTTTTAATTGTGAGTCTCCGTACAGACCTTTAAATCAATTAATGTAATTAAATAAGTAAAGGGAAATAAAATTCGGGTAAAATTTGGCATAAACATTTTTTCGTAGGGAAGATGGGGACCTTGAAAAGAAATATAAATTAGAAAGATGTAGGCCAGCAAGGACAATATGGGACAGCTCCACAACTCGGCTTGCCAATGTGAGAGATTTCGATGCTGCTGGCATTTCCTGACTGACCTGATAGGTAAGCCGTGGTAGTACACAGGTACTTGGTGCCACCATGTTCTTTCATGAACCGGACACCGCCACCGATAGAATACACATAAATCACTTGGGGACAAATATTATTAAATAGCCAAACATTAAAAGTATAACTTGTTTTAAGTTTCAAAAGAACCGGGTCAATAAAGTATGACCGCAACATTTGCCCTCCAAAAATCCCGAAGAAATAGTGGAAAGAGCGGTCACACCTCAAAGGACTAAACAATTTAACCCTCACCATACCGTCCTTTAAACACAAATTTTACAGGTCTGGCATCTCTTTAATAATTGCTGTCCCAAAAACATAATTTAAAAAAAATCTGTTCAACGGGAATAATTAAAAAAAATTATTAAATAAAAACAGTTGTATTATTCAGTGAATAAATGTTTTTTTTTTAAATTTGTTTTTAACATGTACGTTCCAGGAATTTACATGAATTTATGATGTATTACATTGCATAAAATAGTAATTAAAAAATTTTCTCTGAGGTTTGGTTTTTTATAAGTATGTCTGTATGTATGTACATGTATTTTTTTTTTATTATAAAAAAAGATATTTTTAGAATTCAAGCCTTGGATTTTTATTTTTGTATAATAATTCAACAAGTATGAACAGATTCAACAGGAGTCTAGACTGTACCTGCAGCCCGCTTAGAATTATGGTACTCTATCCGAAAAAAGGGTAGTAAAAACAAAAAATATTGTTAGTAATATAAGTTGTGTATAACAACTACAAAAGGTACCTAAAGTTAGCAGTCGAGCAACAACAAAAATACTAATAACAAAAAACAAAAAGAAACGGCGGAAAAGTTGTCTCGGTTGGCTTGCAGACCGTGAAAAGCCACGAGCCACGGATTGAAATACCGAATTTCATATATAAAACAAAAACTCATGAATACGTCTGATTGTGTTTGTACATAAGTAATAGCATACGTACATATGTATACAACGAGCTACAATTCGATATACATATATACATACTATATATATGTAAATATATATATATATATATATATATATATATATATAAATATATAGCTCAACAAGTAGTTATGTCAAAGCTTTCACAATTAATTTTTATGGTGCAAATAGATATTGCAGGATACATCAAATCATAGGAAGTACAAAAACCTACGAAGTATGTATCTTACTGTACAAGAATACATTGTTAAATAAAAAAAGACTAACATCTCGCCTTAAAAAAAATATTTATATTAAAGTTGACTTTTTATAGAGAAAAATCACAATCTAAAGCGAAGAAGAAATTTGAAAATTTTATACATGGTTAACGTTATACGAATAAGAAACCGTATTGTATAAATAATATTCTAGAAAATAAATAAAAAGTCGGAAAAGTTATCCAAAGCAGTGTTATTCTGTCATTTAACAAAGTCGAAACTATGAAAACATTTATTCGACTAAATTACTCCCATGAACTTTAAAAATACCTAAAAAAAAGCATAAATCCAAAATTTTAGCCTATTCAAAGTTTTTTTTTTTTACAGCTGAGGAACAGATCGTTAGCGAGCCTTAGAAGATATTTTTGAATATGCAATTTTATCACAATTACCGCGAGCAGTTTAGAAATGGTTTAAACCTTGACATAAACGGCTAAATATATACCGCTCGATTTTTGTTTTCTGAGCCACTAGAAAGTTTGGAAAATGTAAGAAACCACTCGTGTCATCACTGTAAGACCATCAAACGCTGAGTGTATTTATGCATCGCTGGATATACATATGTACACATGGATATGTTGCAGGTTTTTTTTAAGCGGCGCGTGCCAAGAGCGGTTCATACATACAAATGTACATATGTATGTATGTGTGTACATATTTCTTGAGCTACCATTGTAAAACCGTTTGTAGACCGGAGATATTCTCCGTTCCTATGTCAAAGTAGATAATATCTACTAGATATGTAATATGTATGTTGAGAAGCATCGAAGTTATACTTTTTGTTCTATCCCGATCTCGACCAGTTCTAATTCAACGCTGATCAGGAATATACATATGTATGTACGTTTACCTTAGAAGCTAAACCAATTTACAGAAAATAGTTATTTAAATGTAAAGTATTTAAAGCTAATCATATTACTTACTTGCTTACTTGAATGCATATGTACATACTTACATACATATGTAGTATGTGTATATTTTATAGGTATGCGAGCTGTTTCTGCTACTCATCCCTTACCTTTTTCTGAAAGCCGGGAAAATTCCCTTGCTTCGTATGACAGTATATAGAACACCTGTTAGACTGCAGAAAACGGTGGCGGCTGTTGATTATAAACAAACTACCCCCGTTCGAGTTCCTATTTTATTCATTCTTGTTTTTCTATACATATGTATGTATGTTATCTTACTTTTATACATATGAACTTACTTGCACATTTCCTATAAGTTCAATGATCTAAAGGATTGTATTTAATTATTAAATAATAAATGAGTTTTGAAGGTATCCACAAAAATAACACTTATGTAAAGCAATAAAAATTGTAAATTTGGTATATTTACCTACATATATATATGTATATATAAAAAGTTTGATATGTGCATACATACGTTGACATACATATACGTACATAAAACATTGAGGGGAGGTAAATTATCAAACTGTACTCTTTAATATAAATAATAAATCGGTTAGGTGAACACACACTGCTTTTATTTAATATTATAATCGTAAAAATATGAAAAGGTGAGAGCAGTTACTGTTTATGTACAAATGTATATACATACATGTCGGTACATGTAACAAACCAAACCACCTGTTAACGATAAAAGAAGTAAATGACGATTGGATCTTAAAATTAGAACAAATCAAATACACAATTTTGTCCCAAATACATACATACATGCATACATACATAAGTATGTAACTGTTATATTGACTTAAAAAGTTTGATATGGTTTAATAATCAAGCAAAAAACCCTTAACGAGGTGACGAGTGCGCCTTATACTTTGAAAATGTGGTATTTCGAATTTCGAAATACAAATAATTGTAGAAAATTGAAAATAATAGATAATTACCAAAAAAGTTGTTTCATAATTTTTATAAGAAAAAAAATTGAGTAATCACTTGAAAATACAAATGTATCCCCTGAAATACCACATACGTACCATCAATAGGCCAATGTCATCAACAATTCATCAACGTGCCGACTGCGACTTGTTCCGAAACGACGCTTTCAGTCGGCAATCGTGCCAAAACGGACTCCTGCGTTCTTATATTCCCCCAGTTGATAAAACGCTGATGAAAAAGAGGCCGAAACACATGGGAATGTCATCAAGAAAAAAACTAACTTCGGCACGCCGAACATTTTATACCCTTGCAGATTGCAATTCGATTTTCTCTATATCTAACGATCGTTTGTTTAGCAGCTATTTGAAATAGTAGTCCGATTGTTAAAAAATTCAAACCAAAATATTAGAACAATATAAATTGGCTATATCTCAAATTTGATGAAAATCTGTTGAATATTTTTTTGTTGTAATAATTTTCCGATCGATCCTATGGCAGCTATATGATATAGTCGTCCGATCCAGCCCGTTCCTACATACAGTATGGGTATAGAAGACTAACTGCAAGGTCTCGTTGAGATAGCTTCAAGGCTGAGAGACTAGACAGACGGACAAGGCTACATCGACTCGGCTGTTGATGCTGGTCCAGAATATACATACATACATATGTATGTACATACATGCGTACATACTTTATATGGTCGGAGATGGCTCCTTCCCTGCGCTGTAAACTTCTGATTAAAATTATAATATCCTGCAAGGGTAGAAAAATCGGTATGTAGATTCTCTTCCAATTGTCTTTCTC